CCACCTACCACCCACCTACCACCTACCACCCACCTACCACCCACCTACCACCACCTACCACCACCTACCACCACCTACCACCCACCTACCACCTACCACCCACCTACCACCCACCTACCACCCACCTACCACCCACACCTACCACCCACACCTACCACCACCCACCACCACCACCCACCCACCACACTCCAACCCAACACCCACACATCCACAACCACCCACCACCACCCCACAACACCCACCCACCCACCACCACCCCACCCAACACTCCACCCCACGACCCAACCACCCCCACCCCCACCCACCTCACCACCCAACCCCACCCAGCAACCCCACCCCAACACACCCAACCCACAACCACCAACACACCCAACCACACCAACCACCAACCACCCAACAACCAACAAAACCAACCACAAACCAACCACCAACCACCAACCACCAACCACCCACCAAACCATCCACCATCCACCATCCACCATCCACCATCCACCATCCACCATCCACCATCCACCATCCACCATCCACCACCATCCACCACCACCACCACCACCCCACGACGACAACGACAACAACAACAACTACTACTGCTACTACTACTACTACTGCTACTACTGCTACTACCGCTACTACTACTACTACTACCACCACCACAACGACTACTACTACTACTGCTACTACTACTACTACTCCTAATACTGCTACTACTGCTACTACTGCTCCTACCGCTACTACTGCTACTACTGCTACTACTGCTACTACTGCTACTACTGCTACTACTGCTACTACTGCTACTACTGCTACTACTGCTACTACTGCTACTACTGCTACTACTGCTACTACTGCTACTACTGCTACTGCTACTACTACTACTGCTACTACTGCTACTGCTACTGCTACTGCTACTGCTGCTACTGCTACTACTACTACTACTACCACTACCACTACCACTACCACTACCACCACCACCACCACCACCACTACGACTACTACTACTACTACTACTACTAGTACTACTACTACTACTACTACTACCACTACCACTACTACCACTACTACCACTACTACCACTACTACCACTACTACCACTGCTACCACTACTACCACTACTACCACTACTACCACTACTACCACTACTACCACTACTACCACTACTACCACTACTACCACTACGACCTAGCGCTACAATACACTACTCTAAGTACACTGCACTACACTAATCACACTACACTACACTAATTACACTACACTAAGCTAATTACACGACACTGACTACACTGATTACCCTGGACTACACTGCACTACACTGCACATAACTGCTGCACTACATTGCACTACGCTAATTACATTACAACTACAACTACAACTACAACCACAACTACACAACTACATTACATTACACTACAGTACGCTAATTACACTACACTACGCTAATTACACTACACCACAACTACACCTACACACAACTACAACTACAACTACAGCTACAGTACACAACACTATTTGGACTACACTACGCTACAGCTACAGTTACAACTACGCTACATTACGCTACACTACACTGCTTACACTAGACTACATTACAGCTACAACCAAAACTACAACTGCATTACTTTATACTACACTACGCTAGACTACACTACACTATACTACACTACAGACGCAACACTACAGTACACTACACTACATTACACTACACTATATAGCTGCAGCACACCACAACTACAACTGCAAGTGCAACTACAACGAGACTACATTAATTACACTGCACCACGCTACACAACTAAAACTACAACTGCACTACACCACACTACATCGAGCAATTGTGGGTGACGTGACCATTGCAACCACTGCAACCATTTCAAAAAACACAACTCCAACGACCTCTCGGTCCATCAGTGGATTCGCTCTGTCATCCATGCATCGCAACAATTCACGTCTCCTATAGCGTCCTATCTTTGAAACTTCCGCCGCCGCCCTGTGCGGCACCAGTGGTATATATAGGCGCAGCATGTTAAATTGGGCGCAGTTTATACTGTCTTGTAGATGCACAATAATTCGGCAACAATACCCCACACGAAGATTCTACAAGAAAATAAAGGACCGGATAACCCCGCAAGGCAACTTCTTCCAATAATGAGCACCAAATGTTGTAGCGGGGACGGGGCAGGAAGGAAAGACAAAGGAGGTGGTGGAGGATCGAGAAGTAAAACAAAGTTGTGTGTGACAAAGTTGTATGTGAAAGATGGTGTGTGGCAAAGAAAGATGGTGTGTGTGAAAGTTGTGTGTGCAAGAGAGCGTGTGACAAAGTTCTGTGTGAAAGATGGTGTGTGACAAAGTGGTGTGTGAAAGATGAAGTGGCGAAAAATGGTGTGTGACAAAGTTGTGTGTGAAAGATGGTGTGAAAGATGGTGTGTGACAAAGATGGTGTGTGAAAGGGGGTGTGTCAAAGATGGTGTGTGAAAGATGGTGTGTGACAAAGTGGTGTGTGACAAAGTGGTGTCAAAGATGGTGTGACAAAGTGGTGTGTGAAAGATGTTGTGTGAAAGATGGTGTGTGACAATGTGGTGTGTGAAAGATGGTGTGTGAAAGATGGGGTGGGGAAAGATGGTGTGTGAAGGATGGTGTGTGTGAAAGACGGTGTGGTGAAAGATGGTGTGCGACAAAGTTGTGTGTGAAAGATAATGTGGTGAAAGGTGGTGTGTGACAAAGGGGTGCGTGAAGGATGGTGTGGTGAAAGATGGTGTGAGACAAAGTGGTGTGAAAGACGGTGTGTGAATGATGGTCTGTGACGGTGTGTGGAAGATGGTGTGTGACAAAGTGGTGTGAAAGACGGTATGTCAATGATGGTGTGTCAAAGATGGTGTGTGAAAGATGGCGTGTGACAGCGTGGTGTGTGAAAGATGGTGTGTGACAAAGTGGTGTGAAAGATGGTGTGTCAATGATGGTGGGTGACAAAGTGGCGTGTGAAAGATGGTGTGCGACAAAGATGGTGTGTGAGAAAGTTGAGGGTCAAAGATGGTGTGTGACAAAGTTGTGTGTGTGTGAAAGATGGTGTGTGAAAGATGGTGTGTGACAAAGTGGTGTGTGAAAGATGGTGTGTGACAAAGTGGTGTGTGAAAAATGGTGTGTCAAAGATGGTGTGAAAGATGGTGTGTGACAAAGATGGTATGTGAAAGAGGGTGTGTCAAGGATGGTGTGTGAAAGATGGTGTGACAAAGTAGTGTGTCAAAGATGGTGTGTGAAAGATGGTGTGTGAAAAAGTTGTGTGTGAAAGATGGTGTGTCAAAGATGGTGGGTGACAAAGTTGTGTGTGAAAGATGATGTGTGAAAGAGTGTGTAAAAGATGGTGTTGACAAATCCGGCCCAAGCGCGCCACCAGAGCCAGCCCAGTGCCATAAGTGCCACGCCTGCCACGCAAAACGATGGTGGATGTGACCAAGTGCCATGCCTGCTACGCAAAACGATGGTGGATGTCACCAAGTGCCACGCCTGCCATGCAAAGTGCCGCGGAGTCACCGGCGACCAAAACCCAAGCACGCCGCCAGAGCCAGCCCAGTGCCATAAGTGCCACGCCTGCCACGCCAAACCAAGGTGGATGTGACCAAGTGCCATGCCTGCCACACAAAGTGCCGCGGCGTCACCGGCGACCAAAACCGGCCCAAGCGCGCCACCAGAGCCAGCCCAGTGCCATAAGCGCCACGCCTGCCACGCAAAACGATGTTGGATGTGACCAAGTGCCACGCCTGCCACGCAAAACAAAGGTGGATGTCACCCAGTGCCACGCCTGCCACGCAATGTGCCGCGGCGTCACCGGCGACCAAAACCGGCCCAGCGCGCCACCAGAGCTTGCCCAGTGCCATAAGTGCCACACTTGCCACGCAAAACGAAGGAGGATGTGACCAAGTGCCACGCCTGCCACGCGAAACGAAGGTGGATAACACCAAGTGCCATGCCTGCCACGCAAAGTGCCGCGGCGTCACCCGCAACCAATTCCGGCCCAAGCGCGCCACCAGACGATGGTGGATGTGACCAAGTGCCACGCCTGCCACGCGAAACGAATGTGGACGTCACCAAGTGCCACGCCTGCCACGCAATGTGCCGCGGCGTCACCGGCGACCAAAACCGGCCCAGCGCGCCACCAGAGCCAGCCCAGTGCCATAAGTGCCACGCCTGCCACGCAAAACGAAGGTGGATGTGACCAAGTGCCATGCGTGCCACGCAAAACGAAGGTGGATGCCACGCGATGGTGTGTGACAAAGTTGTGTGTGAAAGATGGTGTGTGAAAGATGGTGTGTGAAAGAGTGTGTGAAAGATGGGGGTTGACAAAGATGTGTGTGAAAGATAGTGTGTGATAAAGTTGTGTGTGAAAGATGGTGTGTGACAAAGTTGTGTGTGAAAGATGGTGTGTGAAAGAGTGTGTGAAAGATGGTGTGTGACAAAGTTGTGTGTGAAAGATAGTGTGTGACAAAGTTGTGTGTGAAAGATGGTGTGTGACAAAGTTATGTGTGAAAGATGGTGTGTGACAAAGAGGAGGCGGCGGAGGAGGAGCCGGGATACAGAATCAAAAACAAGAACCCCACACAAAGATGTGGGGAAAAATGTGTCAACGAATGCTGAGCACTTGCATATCGGGGCAAGTGGCCAACTACATTGTATACATCGAATGAACTGGTAATTTTTATGTCATCGCCTTAGTCTTAGACTTAGATGTTTTTTTCGTGCAGAAGTCTGTTCTTGCACCCGATTCAAGCTGAGATGATTTTGATGCCTCAAATTCGCTTCAAATTCCCTTACCCGTGACAACTTGATTTGCTATTTGGACCCATTTGTTTGTGAGAAAAACTATGACTTGTGACTTGTGGATGCGCCAAGGTGACGGAGCCATCAGACACAGGAAACCGAACGCGAGGCACGCAAGTTGAGCCCATGGTGACGGTTGTCGTGAAGAATATTCCGCTACACTACAGCCAAGACATGTTTATGGACCAGGCCCAGCGGAATTTCTGAACTTTGGTTTGACATGCTTGAACCCCGCATGTAGCTAATCTTTAGCTGATTTGACCTTCTGAGTTTCTCAGCTCTTCCAAAGTGCAACAAACTATGTCCGGGTTTTGAGGCAACGTGGTTAACAAAGGAAGAGACATGAAAGACAGGGAATTCGGAGGTGTGCAAGCAATACACTACCAATCTTGAGATTCATTGAAACCACGGCAACAGGTTAAGAAGCATAGATTTGAGGGTCTCTTCAACCTGCTTTACTTGCCATGGAACTCCAAGAGCGACACCAACAAGGGTTTCTTGGAGCTTTGTTCATTTAATGTACTCAGCCCATAGCGGGCTTTCCACATCGCTCAAACCTGAGGGTGGTCGCAGCAGGGGATCGCAGGGCTTGAGGAATCATTCCCAAACCCATCAGATTGAGCACTTTAGGTCTTACTTTCTTCCCCAGTGGCACAAAAGGGGATGAAACTGGGACTGGATCTGACTCACCCGCAAACTCTGAAGTTTGCAATCGTTTGGGTGCGGAGATTTATGTGGGGGAAACGCCCTGCCTTATACGAAAACAGGAGACGCATGCAACTGAGTTTTTGGATTCCTGAAGATATAACACAATAATATATATATATATATATTTATATCTATATATGCATACTGTCAGTGTTTCAGATTCAGCCGTCATGTGTTTTCACTTCCAGAGGAGAAACATGTCACTCATGTCATTCTGCGGCCCTTTTTCATACCAAGGGACCCCTTTTGCCAGTTTAGCCTAGCTAAACCTTAGGCTACCGTTTTCACTTGGCCGCTCAAGGGAGTGGCTACGCAGCCATAGTGCGGCGCTGGACGCCCTCGTGAAGAAGGCGGAAAAGGTGTGGTCAACGTGCCTTGCAAATCGAGAAGTGTAACAAGTTTGGTTGGGCACCACACCCCACAACAACGTTTTTGGAGGGCGCTGCCAGTGTCGTCACGACACTGGTAGCGGAGCCCTGAGTGGTTCCTGCTGCGAGAGTGGTGACACGGAGCAGTTGGACGCCAAGGACCTTGGGTGAGCCTCAGAACGCTGTGACAACAACCTCTCCTTTGACCAGAACGCTTTTGGGCAATCTGTGCTGGAGACCTGCAGTATAACTTCACAGACTTCAGTGGCAAGCAATCAGCGCTTGCGACCGGCAGTTTGTGGAGACAGTCTTTCGGGACACCATGGCCGAGAAAGATGAGAGATTTAGATGTGCCTGGGACGGTGACATCACTACGTTCCAGGACTATGTGAGGAAGGTCAGACTGGCCTTTGAGAAGACGAGACGTCGACGCCGTCGACTCCTGGGTCCGGACCTGGTCAGTCAGCTGACTGGCAGGGCATGGGTGATCACCCAGGAGATCGACCATGGGCGTCTGACGCAGCCAGATGGCGCTCGCTATTTGGTGGAGTTCTTGGAGGACAAGCTGGCGAGAGTGCCAGTACCTGACGCAGGTGCCAGGGCAGAAGAACTACTTGTTCGCCTACGTCGACCTCAAGGAATGACGATGGCAACCTGGTGCGCGACAGTCAGGGAGTCCTACAGGAAGCTCCAGCGCGCTTTGAAACGCGCCAGACCGTCTTCGCCTACAAGCCCTGGACGAGATGATGAGGAGTCGCTGGTGCCTTCCCCTTCGACAATAGGGAGGGACCGCACTTCACCGGCTCCAACCCCTGGCAATGGATCTCCAAGCTCTTCTCCTATGAGGACCAAGAGGGGCTCGAAGGCTTCAGTGCCTGAACCGGAGCAGATGCCAACTCCTGAGAGACTTACGGCATCCGCTTTCCCTGGTGATCCTCTACCTCATGGACAAGGTGATGATGATGGAAGAGAAGAATTGGTTGAAGACCCCGAGACGGGTGAGATGGCCTTTCAACGAGGCTACAGCAAGGGGAAGGGCAAGAAGTATGGCTCTCCCACGCCGAGCCGTACAAGCAAGCGCAAAGCAGCAGATGGATCTTCGTCTTCTTCAGAGGAGGCAACATCCTGGAGGACGAAGATGTGGTCAGACATGGACACAGGTCTTCCAGAAGTTCTTCCAACAGAGCTTTTGGGGTGGCTGATGCTGAGGCGATGCAGCCTCACACCTCAACAGCGCTTAAATGTGTTGAGCGCTACGGGGAACTCCTTGAAGGCCGAGGACATCGAGCAGGCTCTACGTGGTGCCGAAGATGAACTCAGAGTACAAGAGTCTGAAGCCCGCGGCAAGGGCAAGGGACGGCACTATGCTCGTCCCAACTTTTGGATCGAGCAGAATGGAGAGTGGGGCTTGCTGGCCTCAGAAGATGCAGACCTCCTTGAGGGGAACACCGAAGACGTGCACTGGGTCGGCAAGGACATCAGTGCGATCTATGCTTCGTCGGTGACACCAACTCCGACGACTTTGCCTACAGCCGATGGACCTCACTGGACAGCTGCTGAGGATGGCTATTGGTTTCAGGACACCAACGGTCAGTTCACCTTTTGGTCTCAGCACACCGACGGTGAGTACTACACGCAAGATGCAGAAGGAGTTTTCTGGACCTGGGATGAATTCCAGGACGAAGCAGCCTGGTGGAGTGCGACCCCAGAACAGCAGAAAGACCTGATCGATGCCTATGCAGCCTATGAAGCAAAGGTCAGATCTTTCAGCGAGTCCAGAGAGCTCATGAAGTCCAAAGGTGCCAATCGTGGCTACTACAAGGGCAAGTCCTTCAAGGGCAAGAAGGGCTTTGGCAAAGGAAAAGGTAAACCGATGACTGCTGCAGGATCATCTTCTGCAGCAGCCTTCCAAAGCCAGCCGTCTGATGTGATGGCGAGTGTGGGCCAGCCTGGCTACACGGGATGCTTCATTTGTGGGAGCAAAACCCACGACTTCCGCGGATGTCCAAACCGTGGACCAAAAGGTGGCAAGGGCAAGCAGTCTTCGAAAGGCGTCTACATGGTGCAGGCCTTAGAGGACGCTGGTGGTTTTTCGTCTTCGTCGTCTATGGCGAGACCTTCGATGGCCATTGACGATGTCTGGATGAACCAGATCTCCAGCCCTGATCTTCAAGGTCATGCAGTGCTGGACACCGGCGCCACGGAGACCGTGACCTCCCTTGCAGCGCTGGAAGCAATCCACCGCAGAAGGACAGAGTTGTTGGGACATTCAGATCATGTTGAAGTTATTCCGGGTCCGGGTAAGGTTTTTAGATTTGGTAATGGGATGACACAATCTTCAGAATCTTTTGTTTATTTAAAACAACAAGTTGGAAACCATGAGATCAAGCTTGGCGCGTATACGATAGACGCCACAGGAGTCCCTCTTCTTTTGGGGATACGCACCCTTGAGAGGTTAGGTGCAATTTTAGATACCAAGCAAGGCTACTTGGTTATGAAAACGGTCGATCCGACCCTGATAGTTCCATTGAAGAGATCTCAAACCGGACATCTTCTTTTGGATCTTTGTTCCAATTGGCTGGACGGTGGAGCCAAAATCCTGTTCCAGACCGAGATTTCTCCCACGTCGGTCGAGGAAAAAGCTTTCAGCGTGGTCAGCTTCGATGGTTGTTGGAAAGATGTTGAGAAAAAGGTTGAAGGTGAAGAGGTGATCAGTTACATGTCATCCAGTTCAACACCTACAGCACCTCACTCGTGCGCGAACTTTGACATTGTTGCGCACACCTTCACCTACAACAGCCGAGCTGCAGTTGAAGATATTTTTGTGATGTTTGATGATAGCAGTTTGACTCATGTTCACGAAGATTCAGTGCAGTTTCAGAACATGACCATTTCCAGTGCCACCACCAACATGTCAAATTCAAGTTCGAGCGGATCCAGAACCTCAATGCTTGTACCACCTCAATTTTCAGAGGACCAAGACCAAGCAATGAGCTTGCGGATCCTAGCCCTTTTAGCCTCTACCTCTCTTCTTGCTGCTCATGGCTCAGCCGACTGCCAAGGCGAAAAGCCCTCCGACAGATTCCAAAGCTGCCACCAAGTCCAAGGCGAAGATTCCTTGGGAGGCCAAGTTCGACGCCAGTCGGACGACGGGCCCGGACACCAGAGACCCGAGGTGTGCCGGTGCGCCCTGCTACGGCAACCACACGATTGCCAAAGGTGGCCGAGGCAGCCCGACGGGCAGCAACGCCCATGGATCGTGGGAAGGATGCGAAAGATGCCTACTTCGACTTTCATACACCCCGGCATATGGGGCACATGCCCTTCACCGCAAGAGCGGCCCTTTGCCATCGGACACAACAGAGATGGTGGCGAAGGTGGGCCCGAACAATGCGGGGTACAACGAAAAGATGAAAGATCGAAGCATTGCCCTGGATGCGGCGGAATCATCTGCCGAGAAGAAGCTTGCACAAGTGAGGGCAATGAAGGCTCAATGGCAGAAGCAGCACAAGGAAGAGGAAAAGAACCTGAATTCGACGGGGCCGTCCGAGGTGCCACCAAGACCTCAGACCCCAGTGCCTCAACCTTCCGAGGAGATGGGAACTACACCTGGAAGAAAAGCTCGGAAGCCAGATCAGCCTGCGGAGAACTTGGAGTACGACAACCGCTCCAACCAATCTTGGAGCCTGGCGGAGACACCGCCATCTGGAACTCCATGAACAAGCTCCACTATGAGGTCAAGGTTGACCCGAAGTTCCACGTTCTGAACAATGAGAACACGGCGATCATCCAGGATGATGACATGGCCAAGTATGACTTCAACATGGATGTTGAAGAATCGTGGATGGAAAACGTCACCTATGACCAGTTGGACACCTCCGACAAGGACATGCTGAATGAGGCTTTGCACTTCCACCATGAGGAGCTGGAGGAGTGCTTTCACAATCTACGATCTCCTGAAGATCGACAACGACCCTTGGATTTGATGGAATTGTGCTGTGAGAAGGATAGCCTTCTTAGCACGTGTATGGAAAAGTCAGGCGGCACGGCATTTCGTGCTGGCTTGCACAATGGCTTCGACCTTATGACGGAGTCCGGCACTGAGTTGGCAATTGCGGCAGTCTACAGGCTGCGGCCGAAACTTTTGTGGGTGAGTTTTCCATGCGGACCTACATCACCTATCCAAGCTCTGAATGAATTGACTGAAGAGGGAAAGAAGAAGAGCCGAGAAAGGATTCGACGCTCTAAGAAGCTTGTGAGAAATGGAACCCGTGTGATGGAAGCTCAAGTTTTGGCTGGTGGCGAGATCGTCCAAGAATGGCCTCGCTACAATAAAGCCTGGAACTTCCCAGAAGTGATTGACTTCTGGCAAGCACTACGTCTTCTTGATCGATACGAAGATGTTCAACTGGATGGATGTTGTTACGGACTTCAAGTTCCAGAAGGTTTTCTCAAGAAACCCTGGCGATTGAGATGCTCAAAGCCTGGTGCTTACAGCTCTCTGGCAATTCAATGTCCTGGACGTCACCAACATGTTCCAACGATGGGTGGCGACCGTGCCAGACGTTCGGCGCTCTACACGCCGAGACTTTGCCAAGCAGTTTGTCATGCCTATCATCAAGATCAACGAGCTGGTTCCATCTTTGGTGCCATGGATGTGCAAGTTGATCGAGAAGGCCTCAAACAGATGACAGACCAGGAGCTACAGCATCTGGCCCAGAGCGTTCTCAAGCTTCATCGACTTTGCGGCCATCCTAGCAACAGAGCCCTGATGAAGACCCTCGCAGTACGAGGAGCTGATGGTCGAACCCTGGCAGTTGCCGAGAAGCTCAACTGCCAAGAATGTCTTGAGGGTCAAATGACCAAACCTGCAGTGAAAGTCGCCTTGGAAAAGGAGGAGATTTTGTGGCGAACCTTGCAAATGGACACCTTTTACTTCAAGTTTGGTGACCAAGTTCATCACTTTCTTCTCATGCTGGACGAGGCGAGTGGTTTTTCTGTGGTGAAACAATTTTCAGTTCATGATGAAGAAGAACATGAAAACCTCTCCACGGCAGAAGCACTGCAGATTTTGCAGCAGTGCTGGTTTCAATACTTTGGGATGCCTCATCGCATCCGTTGCGATTTGGAAGGAGCCTTCAGAGGCGACTTGCTGGAAACGTTCTGCAAAGAGCGCGGCATTGAGCTAACCTTTTGCCCTGCCGAGCACCATGAGACCATTGGGGATGTGGAAAGATCGGTGGGCGAGCTCAAGAAGAAGATGGCTGCCTATCTTCGTCAAGAAGCAGAAGCTTCCCCGGCCGACGCTGCTGCAGAGATGTGTGGTGCTCACAATCGCATCGCACGAATTGGTGGCTATGCCCCCAACCAATGGGCTTTTGGCAGAGATGTGGATGAGCGAGACAATTTGGCATTGGCTAGCTCTCAAGGTGACCCGACCTCAGAGATGCACCACAGTCTTCAAGTTCGACTTCGTGCAGAAGGTCGCTATCGAGAACTTCAAGCCCAAGCCAAGATCTCAAGAGCTCTGAATGCCAAGGTCCAGAAATCAACCCAGTTCATTCCTGGAGACCTTGTCTACTACAAGCGCTTCAAGACACCGGCAGATACACCTGCCCATGCCCTCCTTGACACGCCCAGCATGAAAGTGTCAAGATGGTTTGGACCTGGACGTGTTTTAGCTTCAGAAACCCGAGTGCTGGATGAAGGAGCAACACGTGCACCTTCCAACATTGTGTGGATCATCACACAAGGTCGCTTGAAGAAGACTCATTCGAGTCAACTGCGACATGCCAGCGAGCGAGAGAAGCTGATAGCCGAGGCTACTGAAGCCCCTACACTTCCTTGGACCTTCACATCACTTGGAAGAACTTTGCAGAAGGGTGAGTACGAGGATTTGACAAAAGAGCCTCCAAGACGTGGACGACCTCCTGGTTCTCTCAACAAGCCCAAGAACAAAGTGCCACGGTTTTCTACGGAAGCTGCATCCTCTGAGCAACCACCTCAACCTGCAGATCTTCAAGAACCTGTCCAACCTGACATGATCGACTCCGATGAAGAACTGATCCCTGATGATGGTCTACATGCTCAAGATCAACCTGGTGCTGTTGGACCTCTACCTCCTGATGAAGTTCCTGAAGCTGAGATGAGACCTCCGGATCTCAACGTGGATCGACTTTTGGTGGATCCCACGTACTTTCCCATGCGAATGATGGAGACTGAGGAGCTGAAACGGAAGAGGATTGAATTCGCCAATCAACGGCGATCACATGAACTTTCTGATCGACCTCTTCATGTGATGCGACAACTTGGTCGAGCAGAACCTGCCCCTAGTGCTTCAAACTACTGGGTCATTGATGAGAAAGAAGATGACGTTTTTGGTGTCATCATCGACATGCCTAGTGATGAAGCTGAGTGGAAAAAGGTGCTGAAGAACCCAGCGAAGTTTGCAGCCAAATCAGTTTCAAAAGGAGCTGAAGTTGCGTGGCACAAGCTTAATGCCACCCAAAGAGCTGCGATGGCAGAAGCAAAACAACTGGAAGTTTCTCAATGGGTTCAACAGAAAGTTTGTGAACGCTTCAAAGGCGTCATTCCGGGCAATCGCTTGATGCGAACCCGATGGGTTTTGGTTTTCAAAGCAGTTGATGGTGATGAAACAAAGGTGAAATGCAAGGCGAGGATTGTGCTTTTGGGCTTCACCGATCCTGACCTTGGATCTTTGGAGACAGCAGCCCCAACTTTGTCACGCAGATCCCGCCAGCTGTGCCTTTCTTTGTCAACTTTGAGACGTTGGAAAACTTACAAGGCAGATGCCAAGTCAGCGTTTCTTCAAGGTCGACAGACCCAGAAACACCGTGATATTTTCATCACACCTGTTTCTGAGTTGGCTCAAGCTCTTGGAATTCCACCTGGTGAAGGAGCTCGCATGTTGAAAGCTGCATATGGCTTGGTTTCTGCACCTCGTGAATGGTTTGGTGAAGTTGACGAGGTGGCCTCCAACAAGTGCGACATGCGACGGCTCAAGACTGACCCTTGCATTTGGATCAAACTGGATCCCAAGACTGGCCGAACCATTGGCTACATTGCCAGCCATGTGGATGATTTCCTGGTCGCTGGTGAGTGGGACAATCCAATTTGGGTCAGAACCATGGAAATCTTCAAGCAGTCTTTTGTTTAGAGCCCGTGGGAGGAGCAGGCCTACACCCATTGTGGAGTTGCGTTGGAACAGAATGCTGACTACAGCTTCACGTTCAACCACAGCAACTACGTGGAGCAGATCAACCAGATCTCCATCAACACCAAAGCTGAGAACATCACCAATGAGGAGATGACTCAAGCGCGTGCAGTTTTGGGCGCAATTCAATGGCGCGCAATCCAGAGCGGGCCCCAGCATTCAGCAAAGCTTTCCTGGTTGCAAAGTGCCTTGCCTCGTGGCTCCAAGGACATCTTACACCAGATCAATAAACTTTGCCGAGAATGCCACGCTCAGCGATTTCAGTCCATCGCCATCAAGAATCTGGGCATTCGACGTGATGAGGACGTCGGCTTTGCTTGTTGGTCGGACGCTGCAGTTGGCAATCGACCTGATATGTCATCGACAGGTGGCTACATGATTGCCATGGTGGACGCGGCCTTCCTTCGTGGACAGAAGGGAATTGCAAATCCCATTTCGTGGAAGAGCGGCAAACTCCAGCGAGTTGCCAAATCTTCCTTGTCTGCAGAAATACAGGCCCTGGGAGATGGCGAACAGGAGTTGATGTTTGTTCGCGCTGAATGGGCCGAACTGATTGGAATGGAGCTGGACCTTCGAAAGCCTGAAGAAGCAACTGCAAAGATTTCTGCTGCTTGCATCATCGACGCCAAGTCAGTCTACGATGCCTTCTATAAGGGCGAAGGTGCTAGCTCTGGTTTTTCCCTGAAAGAAAAGTACGCGGCTTTAGACCTCATGGCCATCACCGAGAACCTGAGGCGTCAAAACACCGCCTTGTTGTGGGTGGCTTCTGATGCTCAGTTGGCCGATGGCCTCACCAAAGCCGCTGCTGCTGAAACTCTACTTCATTACCTTCAACGTGGCCAGATTTGGGTGGTGAAGTATGACCCGGAGTTCATAGCAGCGAAAAAGAAGGGCAAACGCCCTGAGAAGCAGGTAGAAACTGAAGATTTGGAAAATCCAGATCTTACGTGGCAACAACTGCTGTCACGACATGTTTCCTCCACCTCCAGTGAAGATTTTAGGGGCATGTCAGTGTTTCAGATTCAGCCGTCATGTGTTTTCACTTCCAGAGGAGAAACATGTCACTCATGTCATTCTGCGGCCCTTTTTCATACCAAGGGACCCCTTTTGCCAGTTTAGCCTAGCTAAACCTTAGGCTACCGTTTTCACTTGGCCGCTCAAGGGAGTGGCTACGCAGCCATAGTGCGGCGCTGGACGCCCTCGTGAAGAAGGCGGAAAAGGTGTGGTCAACGCGCCTTGCAAATCGAGAAGTGTAACAAGTTTGGTTGGGCACCACACCCCACAACAACGTTTTTGGAGGGCGCTGCCAGTGTCGTCACGACACATACATATGTCGATAAATGTATATATATAATGTATTTATATATATATCTACATACTATATGTACACATAATGTATTTATGTGTGTGTATATATATATATGCAAGAAACATTGATTACTGTATCTGATTTTGAGATGACTCTGAGATGACTGTTCTGTCAGCCAGTGGCTGGTTGTTCTTGGCTGCAGAGCGCCGGTTGTTTCGAAATCAGGAGTGGCAAAGGTACCATGATTTTGTGTGCAAAAGTTTCAAGCATCAAAGGCAGTGGTTGTTTCGTAGTTGCCAGTCATGTGACTTCGAAACTTGGTGCTCTTGTGTATGCCTTGGTGTGAACTGAGGCTTGGGATTGTGAACTTCATCCGTCCAGCGGCTTGCCCATTCAAATTGAACGTGCAGATGTCCAGGGCCTCAAGACTTTGGTCCATGGTTGGCGCCCACAAAGCAAATGGTGCTATTGTTAGAGATTGGAAAATGGGCTGGAATTCCCAGACGCCGCAAAGAAGGCCAAGCTGAGCCTTTGGTGAAAGCCTAGATTGAACGCAGGTCCCTATGCCGCTGCGGAAGATCTTCCATCCGGTCATCCGGACACTCTACAAGCACGGTCGGCACTACGTCGAGATTTTGCTTTTTGGTTAATGTCGCCGTCTGAAGCTGCTTCGCTGCTTCCGAAGTGCCAGACATAGTGTTTAAAACGCATCAGATCTTGTGTGGGCTGACAGGAAATGTCGTGGTATCATCACGGAATAAGTAGATGCGAGCCTGACTGACCTGTCAGTTCACCGTCGTGCAGAGAGGCTGCCTGCAGACCTTGCAGTTCCAATGGAACACTTTTTGTCAAATCCGCCACTTGCCACTCCAGAAAACGCATGAAACTGAGCGAAAATCCGTGGCTTTCTGCAGGTAATGAACTGGATATATCCCCTTGGGCTGGAAGCAACTCCAATCGTTCAAGATTCGTAGAGTCGTTTTCATACCCTGCCAGGCTACCAAGGATTTGCCACAGCAGTGTGCCAGGAGGCCAGGCCATTGACGATCGCTGTTTGGAAAATAGCTGTGACAACGGATGAAAACGGTGAATCCATGTGAATCCACTGAAGTCCATTCTTTGGCCAAAGAATTTTGACACATTTTGACACGCGTTATGTTACTAATGTTACTATAGTTATGTTTCAGCGCTGAATTGTGCCATTGCCAGGGTGGAAATTACAGCGTTTCCGGGCATTGCGCACCAGTGCTTTGCGGCACACCACCCAAACTGCCGCAGGTGCCTGTTGTGATTCAGTCAGTGGCACCTCACAGGTTTCTTTGAGTTTCTGCAGGCCCAGATTGACCAGACCAAACAAACATGAAGAACAAACTACAATAATGATCCGTATTTTTGGTGCGCTTAGCTTGTCGACACAGCCCCCAGAACAAACCGACAGTTGAGCCACAATATTCTTGTTGGTGCCTTGAAGATTTCCCCAAGATTTTGTCAAGGATACACATATTTCACCAAAACAAAACCCAAAGTGCAGCTTTTTCTGGCACTTTCCAGGCCGCTGCTCGCATGGAAGACGTGACCAAGCAGAACTTTAGCTTCGGATCCTTGGTGCACTACGACTGTGTCAAGCCAAGGCGGTCAAACCGTGGCAAGGGTTTTCCAAGTTTTTTCAATATGTTCCACAGAATTTTCAATAGCCCAAGGATCTGGTGAAAGCCATGGCTATCATAGGCTATCCGGCAGGTATCGGGGGCACCTTTTGGCGCGCTGTTTGCCCACCAGCCGCTGGGAGATCAACGGCAGTTGCCGGGAGGTGCCGCGGTGGGCACCTGGGAGCCCCAAGAATGCTGGGCACCCAAAAATCGTCATTGAAATATATTGAACAGAGGGTTTCTATAAAAGACATTGACACAAATTATGAAAAGATATGAAAACCATGGTTGCAGACCCGTCAGAAATCAAGTGTTTGTTGTGAAACGCCCGCAAAACAGGGATATGATGGGCATGTCAGCCCCATGGGATGGTTTACTGGCCACGCCCTGCCAGCTTTGAGTGTGGGAGAGTTATGGATCAACAGCCATGGATAATTTCCCATTTGTAGATTATTCATTATTCATGATTATTCATGTTTGTTCCTCTTGTTCCAAACATTCCAAACCACCTATTTGTTTCTGGGAATTGCTGATGAAATTGATCAACGACTTGATGGAACAGCCAATAGCATGGTCACATGCCGATGACAGGTGACCTGTGGCGAACCCCCGGCTGTAGCGCATGCATCACCCCTGGAGCCTGAGTCCAATGTCACGGCTGGGACGGCAAGGGGCCCTGGGACACCTCCAGGTTTGTAGTGCAGAGTTCTCAGAGTGCAGTGGAGAGATAGATCTGGAATCTTGAGAATGAAGCAAGATGAAGCAAGATGTACATCTTGACTTTCTGATTGATATGCGAAGCCTAAGTACCAGATGTGCGGAAGCGCAACGATGTTTGGTGCCAAGGTCATCCGATACCAGTGTGATGAGACCTTCAATGGGACACCCAGTGCCACCTGCGGCTATGAGACTTGGAGTTGACGCCATCGGGAGTGGGAAGAGTCCCCGGTGGTTTCTGGGAGAGATACAGTATAGTAATTAATGAAAATTATTGTAAATGAATATGATAGTAAAATTCAGACCCATTCGCAAGCAGATGAAACCAGGATGAATGTTGAAGTGCCCCAGCTCCATCAGGCTTCAGCTACCGAGGACGGGAGCTATGTGACCCTGGGCCATTGCCGCAAGGAGTGTCTGGCCAAACTGCCGGCAGTGCCCTTTGCGGTGCCCAAAGCGGCTGAACCACCGGCGGAAGGTTGGCTGTCAGGCGCGGACAGTTGCCTTCCTCCATCGGTTTGGAGAGGGTCATGTCCTAAGAATTGGCAAATCCCAGCAAATGATCTTAATGAAGAATGATGGCTAGGTAGGGGGATGATGATTTTAGTAGGATGTTGCATGCCGCGGCTGCGACTCTGCAGCATCATTTTCCACTCCTTAGTCGTATCGTGCTCTCAGAAGGAGCGATCGAACCCTTGCCATGTGATGGAGAATCGTCACATCCTCCATATTCAAGATCCAACCGTTGCCCCGGCGATGAATTTGCCGTGGCCATTCAAGTCGTTTTTGCCCTTCATCTGAAGGTATTTCAGGGCGACCTTCAGAAAAGGCCGCACATTCCCAGCAAGCATGATACCAAGTGGGTATTAGAATCATAGCGGTATTGCAGTGCACACAATGGTGATCAATAACTTCCCCTTTCATTACCTGGAAGCAGGCATCAGACACAGCAGCACCTGTCAAGACTGCACGTTAATGAACACAACTCTGATGATACGCCTTTCTTACTGCAAAGATTCTCTCTTCCTCATACAGAAGGTTTGGAAATTGCTGCAACTCGCGACGATTTGAAGCCATGCATCCATTTGCCAAAAAGCTGCCTTCTCCAATTTTCCCTGATTCTGTGCATGGTTTCATCTTTGCCCTGCAAATCATTCATTATGTCAATTTCACCACACTCCCCATGTTCCCATTTCCACCGGCCAGAGCTCTGCCAACCAAGTTGCCGGAGAGTGTGTGCAACCGTTTGCTGCCAAGTATGGAGTTTAGGACGCGCACGCCATTGAGGACCAGATCCATTGGCCACAGTACGGTGCAAAGCACTGATGCTATCGAGAATGGCACGCATTTTGGCTTGGGTTGGGTGGTCAGCCAAAAGTGCAGTGAGTGCCGGAATCGCCGGTGAGTGCCAAAAGCTCATGCACTCATTAATACTGGGTCAAAGTGGTAACTTATGCCGCGGTCATCTTCTTGTGCCGCAAACGGTGTGCCGGTGGGAAGTCCATGATATACATGTCATTCTTGCTGGATGAATCAATTGTTTGTGGCATTGATTTTTCTAACACTTTACAGGGGCACACATGTTTTTGAGACATATTCTTCTTGAGATAGAAACTCATGGGGATGGCTTCTCAATAGCTTGACTCGCACAGAAGAGAGAACAGTAGAAGAGAAGAGTAGAGTAAGAGAGAATATACAGAAGAGTAGAGAAGAGAATCGAATTGAAGAGTAGAAATGATTAGAGAGGCCTAGAGCAGAGAAGGGAAGAGTAGAAAAGATCCCTGCTGCCTTGCCCTGCTGCCTTGCCTTGCAAAATCCAGATCTCGTACAGATCTCGTAAAGACCTCGGAAGGATCTCGTAAAAATAACGCAATGATAATGTCATGTAGAACTCCTGGTCTTCTAGAGGTCAAGCTGATGGTGTGCCATGCGGTTTACAACGCTTTGTGTCAGGTTTAAGACAGATAAACGGTACAAAGCGTTGCAGTCCGCATAGGAAAACAATGTGCACATACATGGATCGGCAAAGTGATCGGCTGCAGAAAGAAAACTGTTACCTGAGTACTTGGATGTACTCGGTGTGCCAATGGGAAAAACAATCATGGATGACATTCTTAGAGATTAAATATGTTGTTCCGACAATGGGAATTACATCTGAGAACTTGTGTTGATAGAAAACATCTTGTAGGTGTGCCATGCGTTCCTTGACATTTGGGGTGAGGTCAAAGAATTCACGAACTGATGTAAAATGTACCAAATCCCTTAGGAAAAGAACAAACCAATCCAAAAACCTGTCCGTGAGGGCCGGTGTGCCATGGTGATTTGCACATGGCGTAAGTTCTTGGGGTCGTGGGGTAAGCGGTGTGCCATGCGGTGGGGTAAGTTCATAGATTTTGGGGCAAGTTACCCCTCGGACTCGTAGCAGTTTGCAAGGTTGCCCACGGCTGCATGTTTACGAAAAACCAACAACCCCAAGTGGCCTTCGGCAGGGCCACATATGCAAGAACCTGGAGCCTGAGAGGTGCAGTCATTGGCAAGAATGGTGCTTTCTGAACTCTCCGCATGGTGTCATTGATACGGGCAAGAGCTGTGGGACGTTCAGGTGTCCGGCTGCAATCAAAATCAACACCAAGGCACCAAGGATTCTGGCAGACGGGACAAACCACTGTTCTCGCGCGCCCTCTGCAAGCGTTGCACGTTTGGCCGCAGGCTGCGGCGTAACGAGACATATTTTATGCTGGTTCTAAACAAGCCCGAGGGTTTCAGACCACTGCGTCCATCGGTTGATCATGGTCATGGCAAACGAAGCATTGTGAGTGAGAAAGGACCTATCGTCGATAAAAGCTATCATGCGGACATGTTCGCCATCCTTCTGAGCTTCTACCTTCCCTGGTGGGGGTAGGACTTAACACCCGAGCACGGGGCATTAAGCCAGGGGTCGATCCAGTCTGTGTGGATCTCATGAGTGACTCAAAAATGCACTAAATTAGGGCTACAAGAGAAGCACTGTACAGCGAACAACACAGCAAGGTCCGGCGCAAGTGCCTATAATCTGAAAAGGGAATCATCTACCAACAAGGGCAGGAATCAGCAGTGTTGTCACCGCCCCCCCAACAGAATATACAGCCAAGGGTAACCGCTTGGAGCCTTCATCTGGTTCATCAGACGTCTCTATCTAACAAAACCTAAGCTATGCCTAAGCTACTGCTAAACTACAGCCCGCCAGAGCAATCCACGATAACTCTGGTTGGCGTACTCAATGCCGCCTCCCCAATCCATAGGCAAACAGAAGTTTGCTGGTTTCGACCATGGGTAAAGCCGCCGGGGATATTTCTTAACAGGTCAATTCCCGCTCCAGTACGCGTCAAGCACCGGAGCCCCTCCCCGGGAGCCATCCTGCTCAGCCTTTCAGCTGATGTCAAGCGTTGGCATGCTGTGTACAGCGAGAAGCGCCACAACTGACAAAGCATCACCCTGTGGTAAGAGCTTGGAGACACATGAGGGCGTTTCATTCACACATCCTCGGTACTGCAAATACCTTTTCTGTTGGCCCCACACATGTTGACATGGATCATGGGCGGCGGCATTCCGAGCTTCTGCAAACATGTCAGTGCAAGGGCAACGGAGACATGGTCAAAGCATTGGGCAAGGTCAAGGCTGACCACGGCTGCGGTATCTGGCCGCCTTTTTCAGTGTGGAATCTTGCAAGCGCATCATCAACGGATTTTTCAGCTATCCCACCAAAGGCTTCTGCAGGCACCCAAGCTCGCACCCAGGCTTGGGCTTCACTTCTACGCACCCAGGCGGATGCTAAGACTCTCCAAAGGGCACTTTCAATGACAATTGGTCTGAGTTTGTCAACCGGGCAGTGCTCTTTGTATTGCACATTCTCTTTTGGCAGGTGAACCTGGCGAAGCTCACACCAAGCTGCGGGGAATTGGCCCTTTTCGAGCCAGCTGTTAACAAGGGTAGCATACTGGGTCCATGCGATGTCCAGCCAGCATGCCAACTCGTGACCCGCCCAACCATGGAGTCCGGCTGAACTCTGTTTCATGCGTTGGGCTTGGTGGGCCAACTCCTGAGGGGTAAAAGGAGACCATTGCAGCTCACCAGGGAGATCACCCGGGTGGATGGCAACAGTCCAAGCATTAAAGGCATCATTCAATGGCGTGCGAGGGCGATACCAAATGCGACTCCAAAATTTGCGCAGCACTTCGATGGCTTCGGCAGGGTGACTTGCCAGCTTACCATTTTGGCTGTCTTTAACCTGGCAGGGGCATGCTGCACAATCATCTTTCACCCACTTGTGCCGGGAGTCAGCACTGTTGCGCATTTTGCCGCGCCATTCTTGCAAGGTTCGCAGGCGGTCGGCTTTTTCTGCTGTTGTCAGTTCCATTGTCAAGATTGCAACGGCTGTTTGCAAGGGCATACCTTTGAGCTATGGCCGGCATCTGCGACAGCAGTCGTTGGTTGCCGCCGGACTGCCTGCTTCAGTCTGGCGTTGCGCCTCTTTCAAGCGACCAAGATCACGGCGCAATTTTCGCATCTCAAAGTTCACACATGCTTTCGGCCTGTCATTGAAACATGCAAACTTTGGACCGCATCCTTTCATGGAGAGCTCATTGGAGCGGAGGTTGTCAGTGTCTGTTACAACTTGGAAATTTCCATGCGTAAGCAACTCACGTGCCTGCTCATGAGCATGCGCGGCATCTCCTGCGGCCACCCCGGCATTCAGCGAGTCCAAGCCATCACCACTGTCGCCCACGCGACTGATGCCCACCAACCTGGGGAAGATCTAAGAAAGGAAGCCTTAAACAAACCAAAAAGGCGAATCTGTCACCAAAGACAATGGGGTTCAACTAGTTGTTTAACCAAGATTATATTGATTGATAATATTGATCACTATTGATTTATATCATAATGGTGTTGGTGTGAATTTCACTAGGCCCTAAGGCTACCTGTTGGATTGGAAAGGGAATGTATCTTTAGCTGGGTGGGCTTACAAACGGGCAACTCGTCTAAGGGTAACTAACAACAGTAGCTCTATACAATGTCTTGTTGTTGGGGTTGATATGGGCTGATAACTCTGCAGTATGGCCCGCAGCATTGAACCTTGACCATTGTGTGCCCGGATCATCTTCCATGATGGCTGGACACTGTTCTCTGGCAAGGGCTTGCTTCCAGGTTTGGACATCAAAACCTACAGGGGGGTTTAAATGGACAGGCTTGCGGAGGGATTCTAGAAGCACAAGCATTCTCTCCGGCAAAAAGGACAGCTCTGTGATCTGACCAGGCTGCTGCATCAAACTTGACACTGCCGATCCAGTGATTAGCGAGTGCATAGACGATGGCACGGCTGCCACCCCATCGCGTTTCTTTCCAATCCCCAATTTCGTTCAGAGGCGCATCAGAGGATTCTCATCAGGCGACCAAGCATCATCCAGTGGCGACCTCGCAAGGAAACGATGGTCTCATGCAAATGGTTCCAAACTTTTTCAGGGTCTCGACAGTTTAGGGCGCACAGAAAGACAAACCAGCTGCACATTACACACATCGACATGTACAAACTGGGCTTCTGAGCGCCACCATGTTGCCACCAACCGGGTCGGATGGCGAAAAGGCACAAACACCGCGATTCCACTTGGCCAAAAATTTCGGCCCTGTGCATTCGTTTTTCTCTCCCCCAACTCAAAACAAACATACTGTAGTATTTATGTTTGTGGGCCATACACATAAAAGAATTTGCTTTTTCCGGCGTCAATTTCACCTCCTGCAGGCACAGGAAATCCACTTTCTGTTGCATGTAGTGCTGTGCAGCTTTCCACGCGCGCAGCACCATTCACATTCAACGAAACACAATGAAATGACGGTCCTGATGGTCTTGGGTGGGGATGGATTCCCTCTTCAGTGAAATCCCGGAACCAGCTTCGGCGAGAGAGGGGCGGGACATTGCGGAGGCCATGCTCGCGCGCGCATTTTTCGATGGCACGTCCACATCGCACCTCTCCCAACTAATCCGACGCTCTTTCTCTGGCAATTTCCACCAGCGGGCTTTTTGGGCCAGGTGGTGGGAGCGAGAGGACTTTCCCCGGCATGTGGGTTCCAATAGCGCATTCATGTGGCCAAACACACTTAAACAACATGTGCATGTAATAGCATGCACCTGCTGCTTGAAAGGAATACGCGCCATTGCTGGTGTCCCGTGGTTTTGGCGATGGCAGCACGGTTGAGATCCAAGCTTATTTCATGCTGTTTCCGCTTGTATAGTGCTGCAGATAACCCATGTGACGCGTGACAACTGTTTAGCGGACAACTGAGCACGGTTCTCGCGCATTGTCACCTTGCTACAAACACTTAGATGTTTCTTGCCTGCTTCCCATATAGCCGATTTGCTCCACTCCTTTGAAATTCCAAGGCGGCACTTAGCACATGTCCAAGCACGGCTTGTGCGGCTAGCAATACGCCGAACTCCCAATTGACGACCCTCTCTGGCTACTCTAAGCTGAGAAGCAGGTTTGGCTACAGGAGTGGCATACGCAGCATTGTCCTCGTCATCCTGGTGGTCAATCCATTGCACTGCAATATCTTTGTCAAAAGTTTCAACTGACAGTGGTCTGCTGGTCTGCTGCTTTGCATGAGTAGCTTGGCTGCCACAGATTCTTCTACACGGAAAAGGTCTTTGATCACACTTTTGTGACCGGCAGCCCGGTTGCAGGTCCATCCCCAAAAGATGCGAACAGGTGCGGTTGGTTCCAAAGAGGCAATCCAGCTTCGCGCAAGCTTGCCAGGACTGGCTTGGATCTTGGCAAAATTGGTTGTGAATCTCTTGTCGGCAATCCATCTGAACAATGGTTTTACCTCGCTGTCGTTTCAGGGCCGGGAGTGCAGGCGTGGCTTGCGGTGTCGGGGCCCCAGCAGTAAGTGCAGAATGTTTTGGTTTCATTGAGGCGTCAAGCTTCTGGAATGCACATTTCGGAAACAAAGACTCAACTGCATGTTTCCATTCAGCGTCATCCTGAATGAATGCAACCGTCCCCTTGGCCGTCGGTTGACCAAGGAGAAGATCACAACCCTCTTCCAATTCAGACATGTCCTCAGGTGTAAAAAGGACAGTTTCTTTCGTGGCCCACGCTGTTTCAAGTTTCGCAACAGTGCTGACCGCTTGAGAACTTTTAAACGGCAAGTGCCATGACATGCTCACTGACTGAGCTGTCATGGATCTCTTTCCATGTGTCTTTCATAGAAGCTGGTTGCTTTCCCTTGCCTTTCTGTCCGGCATTCTGGGTTGCTACTGGACCCTTACCCTTACCTTTGGAGTCTCCCTGTCCGGTTGGTCTTGGAGGATCAGGAGGACGCATAATGACTTGCCGAGGTTTCGGCGGCTTTTTTCCGCGCAACTTCAATCCATTCGTTTTCTTCGGCAGGTCGGCTTGAGAAGGCCGTGTGCTTTGCAACAATGTCAGTTCAAGCTCTCAACAAGGCTGTGGGCCGCTGGTTCACAAGTTGTTTCAAGTCTTCTAACAGATCACCTTCCTCATCATCTTCCTGGCTCTCATCGGCATCCATGCTTTGCAGAAGAGCTGTGAGTCCAGTCAAAAGTTTCTCATTCCTTTTTCGGCCGGTGGTTGCCGATCCGGCTGCACCACCACGCCAGTTCAACCCCCCCTGTATGCAAAGTGGAAGCACAAATGCCTCCTAGGCAGCGGAGTTGACATGCAAACAGGTTTCAATTTAGTGGGCCACCTCGGACCAAACATCGTGAAAGTGGAAAATGTGCCAAGCAACAGAGCCGTTCCAATCAGTCGCTTTCGACGCTTTTTCTGACGTCGTTTGCCAACATGAATGCAACGAAATGCCATCCGTCTCTTTTTGCAAATAAAAAGGAGTGAGAACATGCACATGAAACATCGAATCATCACCAAGCAAATGGACATGCGCAGGCACACAGCAAGATACCTGGGGATGCACAAAGCTGTAAGTAGGCAGGTGACAAAACTGGAACTCCATGAATGACCACGTAAGCTCCGGGACATCTGCTGCCAGCACCTGCTCACTTGGCACATCCAGCAATCAAAGAAGTGGATGCCCACCAATACCACGACGAGGTAGAGCAGGAGATAGCGGCTAGGTAATGAGATGCAAAGTGATTCGCTATGTTTGTTGATTGGACCTGAAGCTGTGAATGCAATATTGTAGCAAGCTTGAAAACCCAATCATGAGCCTGGAAGTGAGGCAAAAGCAAAAAGTCTCTACAGAGTTGCAGTAGCACTTTGTATGGCTGGTATGTCTGGTAGCTTCAAACATGTAGCAAGTTGATGTCAGTTCATTACATATTTTCCATCCATCTGCGGAGGATGATTCCAACTGGACATTCCATTTTTGTTGGGTTCTCGTGTGGCTCAACAACACCTGGTGGTTAGGTATGGGGGTGCCATACGTTTGCGAACCTGGCTATGACGGCACGGTCATGGCCATGTGCAACAACGATGGTAACTTTTCAGTGGAAGGCGGGTCTGGATAAAAATCGGTGAATGGTAGGTGACTGGTAGGTGACTGGCAGGTGACTGGATGATGTTTGCAAATAGACTCGCCTGTATTTAAGATCAGCCGCCCGGTGAAGCAGCTGGCACTGTGTCGCAAGGTTAATTTGTGAACCGGTTCACTTGAGGTGGTTCAGCTTTGCAGCTTTGGTGACATCAAAGATGTCAAACTGAAAGAACCCACAGATGTCAAACCCACGTAATTATTTTGGATGACTTTTGGTAATGTTTCTCCTAAAAGCATCCAATTCGGGAAGCTGCAACAGATCTGATCCAGGCCGCTGCCAAACTGCATCCTCAGTGGAGACCCGAAGTCTGCGGAGTAAATTGACAGGCCCTTTGCAGGGATTGGGATGCGAGTTGAGTTGGTAAGTCAACACATAAAATAAAATACCAGTAAATACTGTAGATATCCATAGCTTTTGTTGTTTGTGATGGCAAGTCCCCAAGTTCTCGGCTTATTGTGGACTTATCCCCTCAACTAAGCGCGAGCGCTTCGTTCAGCTTCGTTCAGGCGTCTCTACGGCCATGGGGGTTGAGAACGTCTTGATCTTGGCGGCTCTGGGGCTCTTTGGATGGCAAAGGCGACGGAGCGACCAGGGGAAGCCAGGATGGTTTTGGGAATCGGGAGATGTTTGGGAAAACCATCCTGGGTAGTTATTCCCGAATGCGTAGCGAAGGGTTCTCGTTTTACTTTGGGGGCCTGGGGCGGGGTTGGAGACGTCTTCGTTCGACGCTGCTTCTGCGACCGCAACCCTCGGCAAAAGTCGGCAACAAGTCGGCAATCGTTGGCAATGAGGTCGCTATGGCCGTGCCTATGCCGAGTTCTGCAAAAGCGGTAACTTGTGGAGGTTTCAAACGTCGCGTAGCCTCGTTTCACGTCGCAGGCGTGGCACTTTGTGACATTCCAACATGTTTCATAGCGTGTCGAAAATCGTTTTCTGTGACAGGCGCACTACTTTGGCATGGTTTTCATGAAGATGAGTTGCATTTCTCGTGGCAAGTGCCGCACTTTGGAGATCTCCATCGTCATTTTGCGTGGCAGACGCAGCGCTTCAGACGTGTCGTGTTGCGTTTTTTTTTTGCGAATCGCATTGCCACGGCTGCGTCAAGTGGTGTCAATGTGCAAATTCTGGGCAGGCGTGGCATTTTGTGAGATGTGAAAATTGATGGAAGCATCGCACGAAACATTGACTTTGAGGTGCAAATTGTGAGGTTCATGAGAAAACCTGTAGGAAAACGTCGATTTTGAAGCTACAAAGTGTGAAAATTTGAGGAAGTCTCGCAGGGAATGTTCGTTTTGATGCTGCAACATGTCTTGTCTCGATTCGTTTTCTTCTGCCATCGCCGTGTCTATGGGGGAAGCTGCAAAAGCTCTCCTTTTTGAAGGTGTCAAAGCGGGTTGTGATGTCTATTGCGTGGCAGGCGTGGCACTTCCTGGCATTCTCACATGTCTGCAAGAGTGTCGAAAATCGTTTTCTGTGACAGGCGCACTACTTTGGCATGGTTTTCATGAAGATGAGTTGCATTTCTCGTGGCAAGTGCTGCACTTTGGAGATCTGAATCGTCATTTTGCGTGGCAGACGCAGCGATTCAGACGTGTCGTGTTGCTTTTTTTTTGGCGAATCGCATTGTCAGGGCTGCGTCAAGTGGTACCAATGTGCAAATTCCGTGGCAGGCATGGGGCGTTGTGAGAGTGTGATTTTGCGTGGCACCACGTGCAACATTTGGTGAAGATCCGTCGTGTGCCAGGGCAGTATTTAGCACACTCTCCACACTTTACACTTACACTTTACGCTTTACACTCCGCACTCTACACTTTACACTCCACACTGCGCACTGTACTCCATACTTTCCACTTTCCACTTTACACTCCACATTTTACACTTTACACTCCACACTCCACACTTTACACTCCACACTTTACACTCCACACCAAACACCACACTCCACACTCCACACTTTCCACTCCACACGCCACACTTTACACACCACACTTATTTACACTCCACACTTTACACTCTACTCTACACTTTACACTTGACACTCCATAAACTACACTCCGCACTCCACACTCTTCAATTTACACTCCACACTCCACACTCTACAATCGCACTTTACACTCCACACTGCACGCTTTACACTTTACACTTTATACTCCACACTTTACACTCCACACTTTAAACACCACACTTCACACTGTACCCTCCGCACTCCACACTTTTCACTGTACACTTTACACTCCACACTACACTCCACCCTTCACACTTTACACTTTACACTCCACACTCTACACTCTACACTTTGCAATCTGCACTCTACACTTTACACTCCACACTCCTCACCTTACACTCCACACTCCACCCTCTTCACCTTACACTCCGCACTCTGCACTCTCAACACTCTACACTCCACACTTTACACTCCACACTTTACACTCCACACTCCACACTTTACACTTTACAGTCCACACTTTATACTCCAAACTCTACGCTTTACACTCCACACTCCCCACTTTACACCACACTACACTCCACTCACACTCGACTCTGCACTCCACGCTCCACACTCTTCACTTTCCACTCCACAGTCTACACTGTACACTCCACACTCTACACTCAACACTCTACACTTTACACTCCACACTTTACACTCCACACTTTACACTCCACAGTTTACACTTCACACTCCACACTTTACACTTTACACTCTGCACTTCACACTTTCCACCCCACACTCTACACTTAACACTCCACACTCCACAATCCCCACTTCTGACTTTACACACTATATTCCCCACTCAACACTCCACTTTCTTCACGCTCCACACTTTGCCCTCCACCCCCTTCCACATTCCACGGTTTACAGCGCACTGGTACGGTAACAGGGGCAAAATGGGACAATCTACAAGACTGTTCAAAAACTTGTTTCACAAAAGTGTTTTATTTGACTGCATTCGGGTTCGTTGGTTTCTCTTGTCATATTTTGTTATATGTCGAAATTGTATGCCAAGTAATTTGGAGAAATCGATTTGATGCTCATGAAATATGTCGGCTCGCATGATGTTTCATGATCATTTGGAGGCATTCGGACCATTTTCACACGATTTTCTGTTGTCGTAATTTGATGTAATTTGATGAAAGCGAAGGACCCGAAAAACCATGTATTGGGTCTCACTTGCAAAAGGCATGTTTTTGTTGATACGCCTGGTTTTTTGGTCGTAAAGGCCATCAATGTCTGCCACCTGCAGTGACGCAGGTATCGGAGGGTTCGCCTTCCCGTGCGGGATGCCTCGCTGACACACGGCCTTGCCCAAGGGGCCAACGAAATGGAAGGAATGCGGGGATTCTCGGCACTAGCCTTGTTGGTTCACCAGTGAACTAGTCAAGTGAATATACTTCACCATAGTTGTATTTCGGGGGTCTAAATCATCCCATAGTTATAATATATCACTTTGTTTCACCCCAAGTGGGAGTTTCAGATCGGTGGTGGTTGTCACCACGTAGAATGACTGATCTCTTTCGAGGTCCGGCCCAACTTCACAGAGCTGAGCAAGGCTGAGGAGTGACTTTCTATGGGGTTTACTGCTATGTTTAACTAATTTTGTTTGGCAGGAACTTTCAGATGCTGTTTCTTGTTTTTTTTTTCCTCCCTCTCTCTCTCTCTCTGTCTCTCTCTCTCTCTCGCTCTCTCTCTCCCTCTTGATCATAAATCCATATTCAATATATAATCAAAACTAACGTACAATAGAATCATATAGAACCCATGCTTTGACATTTGAGAGATGTCCACTGAGTCCACTGTCTGTAACGATCCAACCCGTTCACCACGAATCGCCACAGGAGGTTTCACCCTGAGGAGTGTACAGTTGGCGCAGCCCCAGCTGAATCCAGTTCCCATGAGAATTCCCTTCATTATTGTTTAAAATGTTTAAACGAGCATACACACACATATATATGTATATATATTTATATATATATGAAATATTATGACCCCATCACCCCCACTTTATAGTCTACCTATAGTTCACCACAAGCAGTAGCTGCTGTAGCTATGATACCAGCCATCTAAGTCATTGTACATCACAATATAGTCACCCCATGGTTACAAGCGCTAGCCTAAAGGGGTAGTAGCCATGTTTATTTAGGGGTCATTACCGCCTAATGACGTATGGCTCAAGACGCCCATGAAAAAGGGCGCGCTTAGTTTGCTGATTCCGGGGAGTGGAAAGCCTTGTGTTTCCTGTTGTTTCCCCAAAATCTCTGGTTATCAGCCATGTTGATTTCTTTTTGTGTTTGGGCTTGGAAAGGCTTTCGCTCTTCGTGCAATAAAAAGGCCCCATCGCCCGTTCACTTCTCTTTTTGGCCTCGTTGTTTTCTGTTTCACCAGTGTATGGTCCCAGAGGATCAGCAGGAAGGGGCTGCTTCGAGCGCCCCTGCACCGACTGACCAGAGCACACTGCCGGATGAGCCGGAGGCTGCTGAAAGCGCCGAAGGACCGCACGGTGCTGAGGCTCGGTACAGTTGGGCTGACCTCTCTGAAGGTGCGACCGCGCCGACAGCTGCAGAGTCGCTTGCACAGCCGGACACATCCGACCTCGGTGCCGACCCTCTAGAGGGTGAAGTTTCTGGAGGGGAAGGGGCTGCCTCTGGCGCCCAAGAGCGAAGTCTCTGAATTCGAAGATCCACCTAGGTTCGAGGCCTTGTCTCTCCTTGATCCTGTAAGACTGAGGAGCCAGAGGTTTCTGCCGAAGAGATTTTCCAAGAGCTTGCAGCCGACCCCACCAGTGAACTCCCCTTCCAAGCGGAAACATCTTTAGAAGAACCAATTGACCATCTCGAGACAGGTAGCCCCAATTTAGACAATAACCAATCCTTTCAAGAAGGTGCCGAAGTGTCCAACACTGCAATTTCTGATCCGATCCTTGAGAGTTCACCCTCCATTGATCCCAAAGAGGGAGAGCATCCGGCCACTGCAGAACCATCCGCGGATCCATTGTTCCGGCCTCGTCATCTGATTTTGCACCCGTGTACGTACAATACTTCGGTGGCGGGGAGGAGGAAGACTAGTCCCTCCTTCCCCCACATCACCTTTCTTAGAAGCGGAAGGCGCTGCCTCTGGCACCCCAACATCCGGACACGTGCAAACTGGTCACTCGCCAGCAGCACCGTCCCGGCCACCTAGGGTTAGAGGCACTAAAGGTGGTCGCAAAGAACAAACCCGACGTTTGATCAAAAGATGGCAGTCAGATTGTGATTTGCTTGCATTGAAGTCGTGGCACCAGGTACAGACTACGTGACTTGACAGGAATTAAACATACAATAAAAAGATGAAAAAAATACAACATCAAAATACAATTGTCGAAGGAAGTTTAGAAGTTAAACTTCCGACAGTATGGACAGATGAAAAAGCAAAGGTGCGAAGAGCCAGACGGGAGCAGAGTCAGAGGGGAGGACAGTCAGAAGAGAAAAGATCAGAAGAAAGAAGATGCAGGTGTGCTAAAAGGTAGGAAAGTCGCGAAACACTGTGTTTTTTCGATGTTTTGTGGCTCCGGAGGGTCGAAAAGTAGGCTCGCTAAAGCGGCGGGTGCGGAGACATCTGGGGAGATGAGAGATGAAAAGTTGCAGGCCGTTGTGGCGCGAAGCAGATTTTGAAGTGAAAAGGTACAAAACACCTGGGTCTCGGAGCACTTTTGGAAGTTGAGATGTCGAAAAAGTGCACGCCGTTGTGGCGCGAAGCACATTTCGAAGTCAAAATGTACAAAACACACCATTCTCGGACCACTTTTTGGAAGTTGCGATGTCGAAAAAGTGCATGCCGTTGTGGCGCGAAGCACATTTCGAAGTCAAAATGTACAAAGCACACGGGGTCCGGACCACTTTTGGAAGTTGAGATGTCGAAAAAGTGCATGCCGTTGTGGCGCGAAGCACATTTCGAAGTGAAAATGTACAAAGCACTACATGTTCGCGCCACTTTTGGAGGTTCAGATGTCGTTTTGCGTGGCAGGCGCAAAGGATTGTGCACCTTGTCAAAAGTGAGCAAAACGTGAAGGTTTTGCAGCATTTCCAGAAACGATGGCAGGCGTGGGGCATTTGAAGAGGATCTTCAAAGATGCATTTCGCGTGGCAGGTGCAGTACAGAAGACATGTTCATCAGAGATGTTCGGAGGTCAGGGCGCTCATTTCCTGAGAGGGGTTGCATTTTGGAGTATCAAACCTTCAGGTTTGCTGAGATGATTTTGCGTGACAGGTGCAGCACTTCGTATGACCTGGCATCAATTTTTCGTGGCAGGCGCAGTACTTTACACAGGTGGAGTGGAAAAATCGCAAAACGCATTGGTACGAGGCTCCCAGCGCTGCACTCAACTTTCCATTTCTGAAGGAAGTCTCGCAGAATTGCTTTGTTTTTGACGTTGTTAAGTTCAAACATTGAGGAAGTCTCGCAGAATTGCTGCGGTTTTGGACGTTGTTAGGTTGAAAAATAAAAGAAGTGTCGCAGAATTGTTTTGTTTTTGATGTTGTTAAGTTCGAAAAATGAGGAAGTCTCGCAGAAGAGCCTGGTTTTCAATCTGGCAGACAGACAGACAGACGGACAGACAGACAGACAGACAGACAAACAGAGATAGATAGATAGATAGATCGATGGATAGATAGATAGATAGATAGATAGATAGATAGATAGATAGATAGATAGATAGAGAGATAGAGAGATAGGGAGATAGAGAGATAGAGAGATAGAGAGATAGAGAGATAGAGAGATAGAGAGATAGAGAGATAGAGAGATAGAGAGATAGAGAGATAGAGAGATAGAGAGATAGAGAGATAGAGAGATAAAGAGATAGAGAGATAGAGAGATAGAGAGATAGAGAGATAGAGAGATAGAGATAGATAGATAGGTAGATAGGTAGATAGATAGATAGATAGGTAGATAGGTAATTAGATGAAAGAGAGAGAGAGAGAGAAGGATAGATAGGTCGATGGATAGATAGATACATAGAAGATAGGTTGGTAGGTGGGTAGATAGTCAGAGAAAGAGAGAGAAAGAGAGGAGACCTCAAGCACCTTTCGGTCCATCAGTGGATTCGCTCTGCCATCCCTGATTCACAACAACCAATCTCTCCTATAGGTTTCCTATTTTTGAAACTTCCGCCACCGCCTTGTGCGGTACTACTGGTATTTAAAAAACAACTAGAAAAGTAACCGTGGAGTTTCTTTTTTCCCTGCCCGGATGAGTGGAAGATACGTGATGCTGGCTCAAGGCCATGTCTTGGCACAGCATTTTTTTGGGAGTGATTTTTCTCAGTTTGCCATCCCCTAAATGTGTTGCTTGTTGGAGGAGCTTTCCAAATACAAACAAATTAGAAAATGCAATGTCGCAAGTTTCGAAAAGGAAAAAAACATCTAAGAAAATGCGACGTCGCAAGTTGAAAAAAAAAGCAACTCAGAAAATGCAACGTTGGAAGTTGCCTTTTTTTTCACATTTTCCGTTGCATTCGTTTTGGTGCTGTTGCATTTTTTTGCTTTTTTTCGTTTTTTTTCGTAAAAAAATGCAAAAGTTGATCAAAGTTGCAAAAAAATGCAACGGAGAAAATGCAGCGTCGCAAATTACAAAAAAATGCAACGGAGAAAATGCAACGTTGGAAGTTGCATTTTTTTTGCTTTTTCCGTTCCGTTACTTTTGGCATTTGCATTTTCCGTTGCATTTTTAGATTTCCGGATTTGCTACAACTAGCCTTGTGTTTTTGCTTGGAGTTCTCACGGCAGCGTCGGCAGCGTATGTTGCTTATAGAAGGCGGCACAGCGACTAGTCTTGGTGCCAGAAGACACATCACTCAGGAACTGCCTGGCTCACTGCATGTCTCCCTTTCTTTTGGACTTTTGGACAATTTCAAAGTTAGAGACGTCAATGACAAAATTGTTGCACTTTGGGGTTGTATTTTTCTTGTATTTGTTTTTTGCATTTTTAATGTTTGATAGAAAGATAGAGTCTACCTGACTCGCAGGACTTCAATGCTTGCAGATTTTCTTTGGGACGAAGCCGAATTCTGGCTGCGATACGTCCAACACGAAGACGCTGATGCGGAACTTGTGTGGACTGTTCGAGTCTTTCGTGTCCTTGTGAACCATTGCGCAACAAACAAAATCTTATAAGTGCACCTTGCGAATACTCTTGCCCCATACAGAAATTGGGTCTTCTACAACGGATACCGTAGAAGGGACGGATTAAGGGTTGCACCAGACATTGCTGCAAATACTGTTTTGCCTCATAGGGATCACATTAACTTGCAAGCTTTTGGACAGCCTGATCCTCCTAGGTCCGTTTGGGATGATTACAATACATATAGGGGCCCACAACCGAAGGGTAAAGCTAAGGCCAAAGCCAGTGTCTTTACTCAAAATACAGAACCCCAGACTCCGGAAGAAGATAATAGTAACCTTGGTGTTGACCCTAGTGTCCAGCGTCACCTCGTGAGCCACCCGAGGCAAAGGCTCGGCCAAAGGCTGAGCCAAAGCAGCCGAAAACACCGCCGAACCCACCTCCGTGGGCGCCGTCACTTCGTGCTGTTGAACATCCGGTAGGTCCAAAAGTTACTGAGTCGGTTGTTAGTGTTCCACCACCACGCGTCGGGGAAGGGGCTGCTGCAAAGCGCCCCAACGCAAAGGAGAGTAAGCGACCAAAACTGAAGGTTCCGAGGAATGTGCTGCGTTTCGCGCACAAGAGGCCTTAGTTTTTGACATGCTAGATTATGCACACCAAACAGTAGACCTCTATAAGTCCATCACCAACACTGAAAGTTTGAAGCATGCAGCCACACCATTTGTTCCTGACGGTGAGGAAGCCAAAGGTGAGCTGGCTCCAAACGCGTGCCGCATTCTTATGAAGGCGTTGTGGCTTGGTCGGCTGTCCAGACCTGACATAATCAAACCCATTATATATAATGATTTAGCCACCAAAGTGCAGTCTTGGTCCAGGGGGGACGACAAAAGGTTGTTGAGGCTCATCCAATATATAGACTCTACACCCCATTACCGGCTCGTAGGAACCATTAACGACAACCCCGAAGATCTGGAACTACGTCTATATGTAGACGCAGACTTCGCGGGCGATCGTCTTACTGGAAAATCCACGTCCCGTGGGTACTTAGTCTTTGGGTACTCAGTTATGGGAATTGCTACTTGGCCGCGCTGTTGTGCTTAGAGTCCTTGAGGATAACCAAGCTACCATCCTGGTAGTACGTAAAGGGTATTCCCCAAAGCTTAGGCACATAACCCGCACCCATAAAGTCTCTCAGAAGTATTCCACGACGACTCTGCCGAGTTGGAGTACTGTAAGACAGATGATCAGGCCGCAGATATCTTCACAAAAGCACTGCCGCCCCAAAAGTGGGCTCCAGCGCTCCGCCTTTTAGGCATACGCACTGACCTGCATAGTGTAAGGAAGGGGCAGCGTCAATGCGCCCTAAATAGTTTGGTAGGTAGACGTCTCCAAGAGTGGGACTGGGTAGGGGGGAGTAGAAGGATTACGACCCCATTACCCCCCACTGTATAGTCTACTTATAGTTCACCACAAGCAGTAGTTGCTGTAGCTATGATACCAACCATCTAAGTCATTGTACAGTCATCACAATATAGTCACCCCATGGTGAGAAGCGCTAACCTAAAGGGGTAGTAGCCATGTCTATTTAGGGGTCATTACCGCCTAATGACGTATGGCTCAAGACGCCCATGAAAAAGGGCGCACTTAGTTTGCTGATTCCGGGGAGTGGAAAGCCTTGTGTTTCCTGTTGTTTCCCCAAAATCTCTTATATATATATATGTAACGTGTATACGTAGTGTATGATCATTATTTTATATTTATATTCATATTCATATTTTGTGTTTTTGGGATCCAGCTGGTTCCTCCAAGTCTTAGCGAGCCTGCGGTTTCCATGGCAGCGAAAACGGATGATTTGACTGTGGAGAAGTTCTGTTGTTTCCCAGTTTTGATGGACATACACATATAGGCATGGGTCAAACGTCCATAAATCCAAGGTATTGTAGCATTTGGGGGTGAACAGAAGGTTATGGGGGTTTTGACTCCTCATTTTGCCCTGGTGAATTTTGGAAAGTGGTTGATCGAATATGTTTGTGCCAGAGTGACTCACAATGATTCCGGTGTCGAATTGTCTCAGTGCAACCTCTGTGAATTGCCGATGACCATCTCACCTTGAGATGTGACTTCAATCCAAGTGATATGATGAGTTTCGATGTGTTCGATTGAAACTTGTACTTTGATGTGTTCGATTTCATGCTCGAGTCATCTTGAGTCAACGTTTCTTTGAGAGATGGTAAACCGGCCAAAATTATTGGGCATGCATGCGGAAAAACCATGAACAAATCTTCTTTTGACCTGGGACAAGAAGTCTAGAACGCTGGATCTTGCTTGCATCCGTGTTGAAGATATTTTGGTTCTGGCCACATAGTTGTAAAAGACGTTGCCGGTAGCAAGGACCCAGCCATGTCAGAGCAGGATTTTGTTGGCCGCGTGATTGGTGCTGCTTCCCAGGGAGCAGTGGGTGCTGTGGTGGCAGCTTCGCTGAGTGCGGTGACGGAGCCGTTGGTGAACAACATGCTGGTGAAGCGAGTACCCCTGATGGAGGCTGTGAAGGCTTTGGATCCTGAGATGATCAAGAAGTTCTTGCAGACCACCCTGGCGACGAACTTCATCAAGTTCCCATTCTTTGAGGCCACCAACATCATCATGCAGGGAGTAGATCTTCCTCCCACCGCAAGAGGAGCAGCATTGGGATCTGTCTTTTGCACAATCACCCTGCCAATCACCAACTACCGCTTCCGAAAGTCCATGAACTTGCCCGTGACCCCGGGAAACCTCTACCAGGCATATGGCCCAACAGTTTTGCGAGACATTATCTATGGCATTGCTCGCAACAAGGTCTCCGTTTTCCTCACCAACTTGAATCCCACCTTCGCGAGCACCATGATGGGCAGGGTTGTGAACATGTTTGCCACTGTTGTGGCAGCATGTGTTTTGTCTGCTCCTGGCAACGAATTGCGGGGCTACTGCTTGCAGCCTCCAGATCGCAAGCAATCCTTCGGAGACTTCTTCCAGCCAGCAAAGTTCATTCGAAGCACATCGGTTGGTGCCATCATCATGGGCATCAGTTTGGCCATTGGAACAATGGCAACACCCCAGGTGGAGAAGATGGTGGGCATCATGAAAGAGTACCTGCAGAAAAACCCTCTTAGCTACGTCTTGATCATCCTCTTCGTCCTTCAGCAGGTCATTGCTATGCGTCGCCAAAGTGAGCTGGTTGATGCAGTCAGAGGTGAGGGTGACAAGTTTTCAATTTCGCCTGATGCGAAGGCAAAGGCATAGAGAGTGTAGACGAATGTAGAGGACGTCTGGCGGCTTTTTGCCTTGACGTCTCAAAGTTTGGAGCTTGGCAGGCTTAGCAATTGTAAAAAACGATTGCAGTAGCGCGTTTCTGAATGCAGGGTGTACCGCCCCTCCTTTGTTTCGCACTCCTCAGACCAGAGGATGGACAGCAGCACATGGCTGCTGAAACGGCTCTGGTGATGATTTCGCGAGTTGAGAAAAGATTTGCTGTAAACCTGCAATCCTTTGCTTTAAACATTTGTGGGATGATACAAAGCAATTGAGTCTATGCAGTTGTCGTGCAAACACATTCCATGCTCGAGTCATCCTGAGTTATCTTGAGTCAACGTTTCTTTGAGAGATGGTAAAACGGCCAAAATTATTGGGCATACATGCGGAAAAACCATGAACAAATCTTCTTTTGACCTGGGACAAGAAGTCTAGAACGCTGGATCTTGCTTGCATCCGTGTTGAAGATATTTTGGTTCTGGCCACATAGTTGTAAAAGACGTTGCCGGTAGCAAGGACCCAGCCATGTCGGAGCAGGATTTTGTTGGCCGCGTGATTGGTGCTGCTTCCCAGGGAGCAGTGGGTGCTGTGGTGGCAGCTTCGCTGAGTGCGGTGACGGAGCCGTTGGTGAACAACATGCTGGTGAAGCGAGTACCCCTGATGGAGGCTGTGAAGGCTTTGGATCCTGAGATGATCAAGAAGTTCTTGCAGACCACCCTGGCGACGAACTTCATCAAGTTCCCATTCTTTGAGGCCACCAACATCATCATGCAGGGAGTAGATCTTCCTCCCACCGCAAGAGGAGCAGCATTGGGATCTGTCTTTTGCACAATCACCCTGCCAATCACCAACTACCGCTTCCGAAAGTCCATGAACTTGCCCGTGACCCCGGGAAACCTCTACCAGGCATATGGCCCAACAGTTTTGCGAGACATTATCTATGGCATTGCTCGCAACAAGGTCTCCGTTTTCCTCACCAACTTGAATCCCACCTTCGCGAGCACCATGATGGGCAGGGTTGTGAACATGTTTGCCACTGTTGTGGCAGCATGTGTTTTGTCTGCTCCTGGCAACGAATTGCGGGGCTACTGCTTGCAGCCTCCAGATCGCAAGCAATCCTTCGGAGACTTCTTCCAGCCAGCAAAGTTCATTCGAAGCACATCGGTTGGTGCCATCATCATGGGCATCAGTTTGGCCATTGGAACAATGGCAACACCCCAGGTGGAGAAGATGGTGGGCATCATGAAAGAGTACCTGCAGAAAAACCCTCTTAGCTACGTCTTGATCATCCTCTTCGTCCTTCAGCAGGTCATTGCTATGCGTCGCCAAAGTGAGCTGGTTGATGCAGTCAGAGGTGAGGGTGACAAGTTTTCAATTTCGCCTGATGCGAAGGCAAAGGCATAGAGAGTGTAGACGAATGTAGAGGACGTCTGGCGGCTTTTTGCCTTGACGTCTCAAAGTTTGGAGCTTGGCAGGCTTAGCAATTGTAAAAAACGATTGCAGTAGCGCGTTTCTGAATGCAGGGTGTACCGCCCCTCCTTTGTTTCGCACTCCTCAGACCAGAGGATGGACAGCAGCACATGGCTGCTGAAACGGCTCTGGTGATGATTTCGCGAGTTGAGAAAAGATTTGCTGTAAACCTGCAATCCTTTGCTTTAAACATTTGTGGGATGATACAAAGCAATTGAGTCTATGCAGTTGTCGTGCAAACACATTCCATGCTCGAGTCATCCTGAGTTATCTTGAGTCAACGTTTCTTTGAGAGATGGTAAGCCGGCCAAAATTATTGGGCATACATGCAGAAAAACCATGAACAAATCTTCCCTTGACCTGGGACAAGAAGTCTAGAACGCCGGATCTTGCTTGCATCCGTGTTGAAGATATTTTGGTTCTGGCCACATAGTTGTAAAAGACGTTGCCGGTAGCAAGGACCCAGCCATGTCGGAGCAGGATTTTGTTGGCCGCGTGATTGGTGCTGCTTCCCAGGGAGCAGTGGGTGCTGTGGTGGCAGCTTCGCTGAGTGCGGTGACGGAGCCGTTGGTGAACAACATGCTGGTGAAGCGAGTACCCCTGATGGAGGCTGTGAAGGCTTTGGATCCTGACATGATCAAGAAGTTCTTGCAGACCACCCTGGCGACGAACTTCATCAAGTTCCCATTCTTTGAGGCCACCAACATCATCATGCAGGGAGTAGATCTTCCTCCCACCGCAAGAGGAGCAGCATTGGGATCTGTCTTTTGCACCATCACCCTGCCAATCACCAACTACCGCTTCCGAAAGTCCATGAACTTGCCCGTGACCCCGGGAAACCTCTACCAGGCATATGGCCCAACAGTTTTGCGAGACATTATCTATGGCATTGCTCGCAACAAGGTCTCCGTTTTCCTCACCAACTTGAATCCCACCTTCGCGAGCACCATGATGGGCAGGGTTGTGAACATGTTTGCCACTGTTGTGGCAGCATGTGTTTTGTCTGCTCCTGGCAACGAATTGCGGGGCTACTGCTTGCAGCCTCCAGATCGCAAGCAATCCTTCGGAGACTTCTTCCAGCCAGCAAAGTTCATTCGAAGCACATCGGTTGGTGCCATCATCATGGGCATCAGTTTGGCCATTGGAACAATGGCGACACCCCAGGTGGAGAAGATTGTGGGCATCATGAAAGAGTACCTGCAGAAAAACCCTCTTAGCTACGTCTTGATCATCCTCTTCGTCCTTCAGCAGGTCATTGCTATGCGTCGCCAAAGTGAGCTGGTTGAATCCATGGAAAAGAAGAAGTGAGAGAGGTCTCTTTTTGCACAAAAAGGCAAGAGCGGGCATGTTTCTAGTTGCACATTTGACATGATGAGTGTCTGCCTGAGTCAAACCTGACTCTGATTGTTCCGGTATCTATTTCGTTTCAATGTCGCTTTTCTCAGCTACCTGTGGTGCCACTGAGTGTTCAACAAACACCAAAAGTCTGTTTGCGTAACCACCAACATCCACCAACAACAAGAAAATCCTTGTGAAGTGTCTTTATGCCGAAAAGTTTATTTGGTTTTCATTTTGGGCACCACACTTTGCCCCGAAATGGGCAGAACGAGCACATGTTGGAGCGTTGGACGACAGCCAGGAGTGAGGGAGTTGCTGTTGAAACACCTCCGAGAAAAGACGGTTTTCAGAGTCGCTGTGGCATTGTCCTGGGATTTTGAGCCTAGGATGTTGATGTAGGTATGGTTTAGGCTTCATATACCAAAGCAGAGATTTTGTAACTTGAAGTAGCTCACCATACAAATTTAGTATGGGACAGCCTTTCTGCAAGACTGGTACAGGTTGTGGTGGATCCTCCCTGTGACTTTTCCAGCAAAGTGATGGTCATTTTTCAACGTGATTTCAAAGGGATGTAGTATGCGCATATTATAAGAATATATAATAATAATAATAATCATAATAATAATAATATATGTATATGTACATATAATCACCGTTAGAGATAGACACGTCATTTATCGCTCTCCTGGTAGGACATTACTTTTCTATCTCTTTGTGACTTGCTAGAAATATCTATAAATATTTTTTCAATCATATTGTTTCAAACGGAGCCATCCTCTCCTGTGGAGGTGATGCTTGAGGCACGTGCAGGCAGGGCTCTGGGAATGGTAACCTGGTAGCATGTTTCGATTTTATGACGGCTTTTATCAAAACCAGACATGGATTTTATGATGGATTTGTATCTGAGACACTCTGAGACATTCTGAGACTAGGTATGGTATGTTGTCTCCTTGTGTTTGCACTTCGGCACTTGCATCCGTGTTGAAGATATTTTGGTTCTGGCCACATAGTTGTAAAAGACGTTGCCGGTAGCAAGGACCCAGCCATGTCGGAGCAGGATTTTGTTGGCCGCGTGATTGGTGCTGCTTCCCAGGGAGCAGTGGGTGCTCTGGTGGCAGCTTCGCTGAGTGCGGTGACGGAGCCGTTGGTGAACAACATGCTGGTGAAGCGAGTACCCCTGATGGAGGCTGTGAAGGCTTTGGATCCTGAGATGATCAAGAAGTTCTTGCAGACCACCCTGGCGACGAACTTCATCAAGTTCCCATTCTTTGAGGCCACCAACATCATCATGCAGGGAGTAGATCTTCCTCCCACCGCAAGAGGAGCAGCATTGGGATCTGTCTTTTGCACAATCACCCTGCCAATCACCAACTACCGCTTCCGAAAGTCCATGAACTTGCCCGTGACCCCGGGAAACCTCTACCAGGCATATGGCCCAACAGTTTTGCGAGACATTATCTATGGCATTGCTCGCAACAAGGTTTCCGTTTTCCTCACCAACTTGAATCCCACCTTCGCGAGCACCATGATGGGCAGGGTTGTGAACATGTTTGCCACTGTTGTGGCAGCATGTGTTTTGTCTGCTCCTGGCAACGAATTGCGGGGCTACTGCTTGCAGCCTCCAGATCGCAAGCAATCCTTCGGAGACTTCTTCCAGCCAGCAAAGTTCATTCGAAGCACATCGGTTGGTGCCATCATCATGGGCATCAGTTTGGCCATTGGAACAATGGCGACACCCCAGGTGGAGAAGATGGTGGGCATCATGAAAGAGTACCTGCAGAAAAACCCTCTTAGCTACGTCTTGATCATCCTCTTCGTCCTTCAGCAGGTCATTGCTATGCGTCGCCAAAGTGAGCTGGTTGAATCCATGGAAAAGAAGAAGTGAGAGAGGTCTCTTTTTGCACAAAAAGGCAAGAGCGGGCATGTTTCTAGTTGCACATTTGACATGATGAGTGTCTGCCTGAGTCAAACCTGACTCTGATTGTTCCGGTATCTATTTCGTTTCAATGTCGCTTTTCTCAGCTACCTGTGGTGCCACTGAGTGTTCAACAAACACCAAAAGTCTGTTTGCGTAACCACCAACATCCACCAACAACAAGAAAATCCTTGTGAAGTGTCTTTATGCCGAAAAGTTTATTTGGTTTTCATTTTGGGCACCACACTTTGCCCTGAAATGGGCAGAACGAGCACATGTTGGAGCGTTGGACGACAGCCAGGAGTGAGGGAGTTGCTGTTGAAACACCTCCGGAAAAAGCAGGGCTGCCGATCTGCCAAGACTTTTTTTACATTTTACAGTTCATTCTGCCAAGCAAAACTTAGACCTGGAGTTTTGGAAAACTATGCCACCAAAGACAGCATGATTGGCATCCAGAAAGAACAATTGTTTCCCAGGCAATTTGGCAAGTCATCATCTTTTGCCATTTTTCCCAGGCATGGAAGCTGATGGACACCAGTCCCACCCTCGTGACAAGGGACAGGTCAGTGATGAAAAGTGAGCCAAGAGGGACATTCCAACAAACATGTTTTCTTTTTCAATCTCATTGGTACATTTCCCGACAACTGCCGCAGGCTCAGCTTGCTGTCAGCACTGGAAGAATGAACTGTTGCAAGGAAATGAAAATAGAGCTTCATGATTGCTAAGACGGTGGTGAGTACAGATTTAGTCAGAAACACTTTGCCCGAGTTCAGCCAGTCATTTTCTTTTTTGTACTTGAAGGTAGCAGAAAGGTCGCCCCGCTCCACCCATTCTTAATGTTCATTCACCAGTCACTCCGCGCATTTAAGGTTTTAACCTCGCATTCAAGGCTTAACCACAGACGCAGCTGGACTTGAAAAAAATGGTTTTCAATTTGGATACCGGCACTCCGCCCTTCAATTTTCATCAATTTTCATGGTTTCAAGATGTTTCAAGCCTCATTTCTCCCCAAATGGCTGGCACATGGCCCGCCATGCCCCCGGGTGCTGCGAAGCTGCCCCGGTACCGGTGGCCCCAGTGGCCCCAGTGGCCCCAGTGGCCCCAGTGGCCCCAGTGGGTCCCCGGGAACGGCTGCGGGGACCGCTGCCACGGAGCTTTCTTCTGGAGGCTGGGGGATTTATATAACCACTGGACCACTGGCCATGGGAACTTCCAGAGTTAAAGAGGTTCGATTCCTTAGATTCCTTGGATTCTGATTATGTAAGATGTGTAATTGTGCATCTTTTTGTCTATCCGATTCTATCCGATATCCGCTGTTTTGTGTTTGGTCATGGAGACGATCTAGCTTGAAACATTGCCCACGAAGGTTTCTCTCGTAGGTCACTTCTCATCCCAAAGTCTGTTCAGAATATTCAGAGTAAAGATTGCCTATTGATCTGCTGATACCTGCTGAATTCAGAAGAAGTGGCAACATGAGATTCATGAGATGCCAGAAAAGAGAAAATCATAGAACATCTGTCATTGTGGCAAGTTGTTTTTTGATTGTTTTCCTGTCTCAAGGGCCAGAAGCCATCATATGTAGGTCGCTGGCTAGATGAAGGCTCCCCAACAATAGCTGTATGATCAAGTTTTTGCACTGGAACATGCAACTTGTTCATTTGTTTTTGCATGAGATATCCCAGAAGATCATCATCATCATCATCATCATCATCTCCCTGTTTTATAGTCCCATTCTTGATCATTGGGTTTATAGCACCTTATACCTTATAGTCTCCATGATAGTCCCATTCATCTCCCTGGATCATCCTTGGGTTTTTTTTATGGTTTTCTTCTTGCCCAAGAAATCCCAACAAGCCATGGGCATCGGGGCGTAGGTGGCCCGTCAGGGCCTGCAGCTGCTGTCCTTGCGTCGCTTCCTGCGAACGCTCCAACGCCCGCAGCGCCACACCTGGCGGGCGAACCGGAAGAAACCACCGGAGGCCATGGACGAGGAAGTATGGAGGATACATGTCTTACATGATATTATACAAATATGATTTATGGAATTTATGGATATTTATTGTGAGTATTATTATTCTTACAATATACAGTATATATATATATATATTTATATATATATTTATATATATATTTATATATATATAAATATTATAGTATGTAAATATTGAAACTAACTATATTACAACTATATGATTATAGATATGCAGTGCCGCATCTAAATCGCGACAATCCACAGAACCACAGGCCTTGCTGTCGCGGCCGTTCCAGAAACCTCCAACACCTTGGTCTCCCGATGGTTTCTATGAGGTGCCGATGGTAAGACGGACGCCATGATGGTAAGTTGGACACCCAAAACTCATTCGGTATACCAAAACTTTCCAAATATGGTGATTTTTATTTTGTTGGAAACCCATTTCTTGGAACTATTTCCACACTTTCATGGTATATGACCCAATATGGTCCCGGTGTACCATTGGTGGTCCATTGGTGGTTGCAGGAGGCGGAAGAGCCAGGCCATGGTGTCGTGCTGGTTTTGGTTTTCGAATTTCGAACTGACTCTAACTTTCGTGCTAAATTTTTACAAAGGTCTCAACCCTCTTGCGGCAAGATAAGTTGGCCCTTACCTTCCAATTTACAAAGGTCTCAACCCTCTTGCGGCAAGATAAGTTGGCCCTTACCTTCCAACTTGGATGAAGAACGGCACAGCACATCCCATTGGAGAGCTGCCGACTCGCCGTGTCCAGGGAGTTGGATGGAGCAGTACACCGGGGAGGTCTACATCCAGGAGTTGGCATCCATGCTCCCAGTGGAGGCTGCCACCCATCTATGAATGGGATTGAGATGGATTGAATGGGTTGCAAGATGTTACAACCATATTACAACCATGGCATACCATGACTACAAACTCGTAAACCACATGATATCCACATGATCAAATTGCTCTGAATCCATCCTGTTGATCTACCCATTTTGGTCCCAAAAAAACCGGTCGATGTGTGACAATGACAGGGGATCCGCTTGGCCGCCAGGTGTTGAAGGCCTTCCTGCCGCTGCATTCCGTGCGGATCCTGGACCTTTGCTCAGCCCCTGGATCCAAGGTGCCACAAAACCTGGGGCGAGCGCCGACCCATTTGTGGTGTTGGTATGTGTTGGTTCCCCCTAAAAACTGGATACATGGATACACTGTTGGATTTTTAAATAAAAACTGCCCGAAAAAAAAAGCAGTTGATCATTCTGACTGAACATGAAGAGAGCGCCCAGCAGTCTTGCAGGCCTCACAACTGGCATTGGAACTTACAGGTCCGCAGGGAGGGCGCAGATGCCTAATGTCACAGGTGGCTCAACCTGAGATGAGGGTCATAAATTGGATATAATTGGATATTTCTTTTTCTTTCTGGTAGATGGGGGCGGTGTGAATCAAGTTTGGATGGCCCCGTTGTCATGCCAGATGGCAATTTTGGTCGCTGAGCGTTTTTACCCCATCGAAGCATGTAGACTTCTGTATTCTGCTTGGATGCTGACGATTTTAGCTGTTCTATGCGGAGTTTTGGGAGCCATGGCTGAAGGTCGACATCCGATGACACTTGATGATTTGATGACACTATCTGATCATTTCCAGAATCATTTCCAGAGCACTCCAGGTGAATCGGTGCTGATGTGCAACGAAGCCAAGACGTCCCGGGCACAGATCTTGCGATGCAATCTCTTGAAGACAGGTCCGTTCTTGCTGCGTGAGATGAGATTAGGGATTTGGGGCATTTTGGGGCACTGTGGAAGGTCGAGTCAAAGTTGCGTCTTTCATTAGGCTGGTAGCCCCCATGTATCCCCCTTTTGCTGTGGCCACATGGCCACGTCCCCATATCTCCAGTTGTGGCGGATCGGTGCTTGATCCTTCAAGTGCCTTGGAAGCCTGGAAGAACAAAGAGTCACATCCAGAACGATCAGCCGAAAAATATCTGCATCTGCCAAGGAAGATGGCCGACATTTAGCTGCGGCTGGATCTGCGTGTTTCGATGCCATCTTATTGGACGCCCCCTGCAGTGGGGAAGGGAACTTACGACGAATCCCTGAGGTGGGCGCTGGGGCCTTGGGGGTTTGGCCATCAGCGGGAGCTATGGCACAGCTATGGGTATCTAAATTTTCAAATGGGGAGCCAAGGAGCTACGAATAGTTTTTTCCAACCACATGATAGTTGACCCATCAGGGTCATGGAACCATCCTGTATTGTTGTTGCAGCGTGTTGCGGTGCCGGTTTTGAACAGGTCATTGAGCGTATTCAAGCGCCAAACTATGGACGAATCAAAGCAGAGAACGCTTCGCTCCAGAAGCAGCTCCTGCAAAGTGCTTGGCGCATGCTACGTGGCCTGGCACAAGACATGCAAGTGACAACAATGGAACAGAGTTGCCTAGTGCTCAATTGCCCAATGAACTGGAGCCGCTGTTTGTACGTGTCAGGGTCGTTGAAAGCAGTGGACCGCGAGGTCCTGGGGGCTTCTTGGTGTACTCTACTTGCACACTGAACCTCCAGGCTGGCCTGGAAGGTTCTGTCTTGGGAGGTACGCTCCCAGAATTGGCGTTTCTTGGGCAGGCTTTGATGTCGTCATATTGATGTGGCTTCTTTATAACGTTTTGATCATTTTGCAATTTTTGGGTGGTGTGTTCCAAAATATGGCTGAACGCTATGGCCAGACCCTGATGATCAGTGAATTTCCTGGATTTCTTCCTGCTGAGCCAGTCTGCAGGAGAATGAGGAGGTCTTGGAGCATCTGCCGATGGCTGAAGCCGAGTTCATGGACCTACCAGCCAGGCAGCAAAGTTTCGCCGTGTTCTACTTAAGACAACATGTTTACTTGGAGCTGGACTTGTGACCTCTAGAAAAAGAGAACACACACACATACATACATACATACATACATACCTACCTACGTACGTACATACATACATTACATTACATTACATTACATTACATTACATACATACCATTACATACCATTACATACCATTACATACCATTACATTACATTACATCACATCACATTACATTACATTACATTACATACCATACATACAGACAGACAGACAGACAGACAGACAGACATACTTACACTATGATATGGTATAGTATAGTGTATAATATACCTATATCATATGTATTATGTGTATAATCCGTATAATCTGTATAATCTGTATAATATAAATGATATGTATAATATGTATGTATAATCTGTATAGTCCGTATAATATAAATGATATGTATAATATGTATGTATGTAATGCAGTGCAATGCAATGCCATGCCATGCCATGCCATGCCATGTCATGTCATGCCATGCCATGCCATGTCATGTCATGTCATGTCATGTCATGTCATGTCATGTCATGTCATGTATGTATGTATATATGTATATATGTATATATCAATAATATAGTGTATGTATAGAAACTATCTATTTTCATGGGTTCGGCTGCCACCGATGACACAGGTTGGGCTTCCCCAGCTGCTCGAGCCTTGGGCTGCGTCTGTGGCCACACCACTGGGACTCCGAGGGCTTTTTCGTGGCATGCATCCGGAAGCGAGGTGCCATCTGTATTTGTGCAACCTTTTGGTGCAACGCGCAACGCTAATTTAATTGGAACCATGTTGAAATATATATATATATGCATATACATATATATAATATATATATATATATATTATACACATATATATATATTATAGATACATTCACAAATAATGACTCAGAGTCAAGGCGCGAAGTGTGAATTTGTTCACTCCACATAAAAAAAAGGTGGTGGAGGGCAGTCAGTGGCAGCTCCAACACCGCGAGCGCCCTGGCCCTGGAGCACCTTGAGCTGGGAAGAGTGGAACGACTTGCGAGCTGAAGCGACTGCACCTGGTCGACAGAACGGGGGCCGTTGCTGACATGGCTGACATGGCTGACATGGCTGACATGGCTGACATGGCTGACCAATGGTGAATCGATTAATATTTTGTGGTTGACAGTGGTCAAAATTGTAATCTCCTGATTTTATCTGACTATTCGCGAACAACAGCTCTGATAAAACATTTGTGCAGCCAAGGATGATTGGCCAGATCTGACGCCCCTTGGAAGCCACCTGATGGCTCCAACTAGCCTGGCTGCAGTAGGACCCTGAATCCATGAACTTGGATGATTCCCAATAGCAAAACCATCTACTCGTACTATAGAAATCCAAATTTGTATGATGTTTGGCGATCAACTTGGATATATAATCTTGGTCATCTATCCATTTCAAGATCACCAGAGTGATCATCTATCCATTTAACATTTCTGGTTACTAGTCCATATCGCACCACATCGCTTCACTTCGGTGCGTGACCCTCCGAGGCCTTCGGAGGTATCGCGGGTGGCACGCTACCGAGGCCAAGTGGGGCCGTTCTGACAGATTTGATCCATGCAGTGGCTGCAGTGTTGAAGTTTGCAGGTGACCTCTTTTTGTTGCCGCCTTTGAATGCCTTGAATGGCTTGGATCATTTGCATCTTGGCCATGGTCAAATCTGCGCTCCATGGTGAAAGGTGCAAGACGATCGTATCAAAGAATCTAGAAGCAGGAAGCCCCTCAAGCAATTCACACCCGACATACATTTGTTACACGACTGTTTTTTCTTCGCAAATATCATGGAGGATTTAATCCATACCACATCCCAGAATTCGTAGAGGAAATGATCGAAGAAAATATCACCCCAAATACTACTTAGATAGGGATTATTTCCACACGAGTGTTTCTCGATGTTCAATATTTGCGAGCCATAGATGATGTGTGAAAAAAATGCTATTGTCTTGTATTTCTTTTGTGTTCTCATTTTGTGTGTTTGCATGTGTTCCCCACTTGTTCTAGTCCTTTTTTTTCGATGATCAAAAGTCATTGTATTGCAAAAGACAGAGGGCTATTTAGATATTTGCAAAAAGATACTCACATACTCAACCACACATTTGGCACTGAAATTAGACCAACATTATATAATTTCCTGTGATTTTCCTGCTGCATAGTTCTTTAACCACAGTGCCACCATGGTGGTGTCAGATGTGAACGAATCCCCAACAAGCCGATTTTACAGTCCATGCACTCAGAATTTTCATCAAGTCCACCGTTTTCATCATTAAATCATCATTATGTAATCATTCTTTTTCCTCACGTCATCATCATTTCATGTTTATTATCAGAGTTACCCTGTGGTCTGGCAATCAAACGTGGCAATGGGAAATTCCCTACAAATGGAAGTTCCTTTGCAGATATTATTTGCAGGATTTCCCTAAACTGGGGGATCCCTAAAACCATGGGTTTCAATACTAAAACGGTCCAAATTTGGATGATTTGGGGTACCGCCATGGATTGGAAACTCCGACTCCCGAGGCTACCGATGACCACCCCGGCCCTGCGCCTAGCCCCGCTGGAGCTGCGGCTTCACGGTGCCCGCGCAGCAGCGGGAGAGGATTGGGTGGCGCTGGCAGCGCAGCTTGGGGGTGGCCTGGGAGCCTACACGGTGCCATGGTGGATTTTAGAGGGTTGGGTAAGGACAACTCTCCAACCCTTTTAACCATCAGATAGGGTTTCTTGGTTTTGGGATGATTTTCTATGTTTTGTTGTGTTGTACCAAGGCACAGATGGACGCCCTGGTGCAACGAGGCGCACATTGGCAGAGTGCCGTCCAGATCTTCGACCGCTTGGGGTTGGGACCTGAGTTGGGGACCTGGTTTATGCTGATCCAAGATGTGGGGAGGTAGGATTGTACCATATTTTACCAATCCTTTACTAAATACCCTCTGGTGAACTAACATAGCAATGGAAAATCACCATTTTTCATGGGAAAATCCACTATAAATGGCCATTTTCCATTGCTATGTTAGTTCACCAGAGGGTAACCAACCAGTAGGCGGAAATGCAGCCAACTTGGACATTTGTTGGAGTTGGGTGTGGAGGAGACTCTTGTTTTTGCTGGTTTCCCGCTTCAATTCCCAAGTTCGTTTGGACAGTTTGGCTGCATTCTCCTCGATAGTAACAGCTATGTTCCAGGTGGAACAGGAGGTTGTCCAACTGCTACCAGCCACATAAACCCCACATAAACCATTCCAAACATACATCAAAGTCATCAAATTATGACATTCAAAGCCTTATCCATGGCTGGCCAAAGTGGCCAACCTTATCCTTGTCCATGGGAAGCACGAAGACAACTGCCACACGCCTCAGGGAAGAACGTCTGAAAGCTGACCTCATCGCCTGCAACACCCTGATGAAGGCCCATCATGGTTTCGGGGAATTCGATAGAGATTACCATAGATTACCTAATCAAATTTGTGCACCTCAAGATGATAGTGAAGTTAACCCTGCCCACTATCATCTTCAGGTCTGAAAGTCAAATCACCCACTACCACCCACTGGTGTTGGGTGGCCATTTTGTTTGCTCATGTTTCAATTTGGGTGCGGATCTATACCAAATGACTCGAAGTTTGGGTTGATATTGTCGCAGCACCGACCATTCTTTCATTTTCTTGGATGTTCTTTTGGTAAAACTCCCGTTTTGACCCACTCCCGCATCCAACCCTGCAGCGTGACACAGGGTTGACACGGTCCGGCCAGGCTTATTCCAAAGGCGGTGCTGCTGGCGCAGCGCGGAAGCTTTTGAAGCAGATGAGATCGTGGATCATAGCCCCAGATGTCACCACCTATGCTGCTGCCATGAAGGCATGCTTCATGGCACGGGTGGTGCGATGGTGCTAAGGGCATGTCAAGGACCTCTAGAGGATCTGTAGGTAAGAAGTTTGGAGGTCATCCCTGAATGCCTTTGCTGTCGTTTGGAAGTCACATCTTTCAAACTATCAACTGTCTCAGAGGTTTTAGACATGTTTGTGCACGTCCAGTCAGAACAGAGAGCATCACTTGATCGGCAGCATTCGCACAAAACAGCCAGTTTTTTTTGCCGATGTGAGTTCATCTATGATATCTATGCCTTTGAACAACTTTGTTGAGACAAGTTCATTGAATTCATGACGCTTGTCACAAGGCTGCTGATGCGGAAGAACTTTTCCAGGATCTCAGCCGCTTGCAAGTCGTGACAGGTCGGGTTTGTGGATGTCTTGATGTTTGACCAACATATTTTTGAGGGCTTCCAACAACACGCGTCAAACAGACCCAGTGTGGGTAATGGAGTAACGGAGTTTTATGGAGTTTTGCTTTGCTCCTCGTCAACCCAATGAGCCCCATCACAGCCAAGGAGAAGATGGTCTTCAGCCAGATGTTATCACCTATACAGTGCTGATGGGCGCCGTTGAGATGAAGACAGTGCTGTTGTTTGCGCAATAGCTACATGATGGATTTGTTTTGTTGAAGCAGATGCAGATGCACCTACCATTTGGGACTTGCCAGCTTACTTTGAATACAAGATTACTTATTACACGATAATTCCCTTCGGAGGAGTGTCTGGGTGTGGTTGCAAGGTATGTAAATGATGGAACTATATTTCCGACTATATAATATACAATTTTATTCCCCACCTGTCAGGTGAGGGTTGTTAGATTTTATGTCAGCCTGCCCGCCTCCTCCTTCCTTCCTCCTTCCTTCTTCCTCCGCGCCTCGCCGGACATCTTAAGTGCAAGCTCCGGATCAGAGTGTTCCCCGCCGGACCTCGACCACAAAGAATCTCCGAAGATATACCAGATACATATGCCAGAAAGAATGTCATAAGATATGGCATATATCAGGTTGCTTTCTTGCTGATGGGACTTGTAGCTGAGGGTTTGTACTAGAGCACGGAATGCTTTGAAATGACATGGTGGGGATCACTCGAAGTAAAGTCTGTTTTTCTGTATATCTATATTACATCACTAGTGTCTGGATGTGGTTGCAAGGTATGTAAATGATGGAGGTATATATGGTCCCGTCCTCCGTCTCTCCACCCACCCCCCCAATGTGTTGGGTCCCCAGGCAGCACCCCCTTTTCCCTTCTATTTGCAAGCTATTGGCAACATTTCTGAGGTCCAGCCTCGTATTTGCTAGGTCTTTGTAGCATTTCTGACTACCAGCCTCGCATTTCCTAGGTACATGCTACCTTTTAGGCGATCTACGTAGCACACATACTCCCTCAAAGTACCTACGTGCCACCTATAGTCATATATACATGTGCTATGTATCTACTTCCTATTTACTACCTACCTGTGTACTCTCACAACACTACATGTGTTGAACATATGCCGTACCTACCATACATTCCAATGATGCCATGCGTATCATACCTATCATACCTATCATACATACCACACATACCATACATATGAAACATAATTACCACACCTACCATACATACAATACCAAACATACATGTGATACCTATCATACCTACCTTACATAGGAAACATTCCATACCCATCATAGTAACCATACTAACCATACATACCATACAGACCATACATACTGTCATATCAAACATACCATACCCAACAGACTTACATACCATACTTACCATCCATACAATAACAACCATTCATGCCATACATAGCATACCTACCATACATACCAAACATACCATACTTTCCAAACATGCCATACCAGACCGACCATACACACCATACATACCCAACATACCATACCACACTCCCACCACACCACAGGGGGGGAGAGGGACAGTTCCACCCCCCCACCACACCACAGGGGGGGAGGGGGAAGATCTCACATGGGGGCAGTATATGGGACCCATCCAATGGGGGGGGGTGGCAGGGCCTGGTGCATTTTTTATACACAATCTTATTTTCTCTGTATATCTATATATTACATCACTATTGTATCTCTATATCCACTGACCAAAAATGGGGGGCTCCTCAGGTGCGTACGCCAAGCGCGGCCGCAGGGCGAAAGCGGAAGCCGCACTGCGAGACATGTCAAGGGCCGGGCTTGGGGTGGAAGGATGGGACCCTTGGGAGCTGCGAGAAAAACCCTGAAGAGTTGATGTACCCTGGTGAAGAAGCAAAAAAACTGATCAATGAATGGTAAATGGATGTCCATCCCCTGCAAAGACGGTAGAATAGGCTCTGATCCATCCCCATGTCGGGGATTTAACCAGCACCGGTTTTTGACACTGATAGCAAAGCAGTCTTGACTTCTTCTGCCTGATCCTTCGAGATTTGCATAGATGACTATGTTGCAGGTTGATGCGGTTGATGCGGTTGATGCACATGCGACTTGAGCTTTGTCAGCCCATCCAGCTTTTGTACTACAGGGTTTTTCAAGCTAAGAGTTGAAAATTCAATCCTCAACAGTGGAATCACTTATGCCACAGTCAAACCAGTGGTGACTTTCCCATCAGAGGACATGGTCACCCCTCTTTTCATAGGGGTTGATATAGACATGAATATGAAACCCATGTTCTATTTCCATGATTCTTGGTTCACCTCCTGTTTTTGCTGGTAAAACCCTGCATTTCCCCTGCAGGATGCCCTTCAGCCCGACGTCATCGCCTACACCGCGCTGCTGGACCTCTACGCCAAGCTGGGCGACCTGGAAGCGCTGCGGAGACTGCTCGCGACCATGGCACCGAACGTGGTGAGCTTTACGGTGCGCCCTGGGAGCGTTGGCAGATGGCTACGCGGCTACACCATCTGCCGGTGATTTTTGAAGTTCTTTTTTAAATAGATCCACCAGTGGGAAGATTTTGGATCTTTGGGGACCATCTTGAATTTCAAACAAATACCAGATTTACTTGGAAAAAAACTTGTAATTAAACCATAAAACGTGGGATTTCAGCAGCAAAAATCAGAAAAGATGGGATGCAATGGCAAAAACTGGGGGATTCCAAGGGAAAACAGCCCGGGGATAGAAATGATGAGGACGGAATATGGTTTATTTGAGGAGTTCAGTGGTAGCTACAGAGTCCACAACCCAGGGGTCCTCCTTGTGCACAGGCCTGGTCATGTCGCTAGAACAAATTGTAAGTTTGGGGAATTTTAAACTAATCATGATGAATATACTGGCAAAATTGATTGGTCCTCAAAGATGTTCACCCCAAAATCCTCATTTTTTTTTTATTCCCTCCAACAGGGCCACAAAAATTGCCCGCCCAGATGGGGTATAAAAGATGATCACCGGCTGTATAAATGGTGTTTTCCATTTTCCGACAAACTCAACCGGCTGTATCTGTCCAAAATGGCGAAGCAAATTTAAAAAAAAAACAGCTGCAGGGCTTTTTCAGGGCCATTTCATCCTGGTACCCCTGACCATCATCCCAAAGGACTTGAAGCTTGACCCCTGGCCACACTGGAAACCGCCATCTCCCTGCATAAAATTGAGATAATTGAGGGTTTTCAATTTTTGTTGGTTATGTAAACCAAACGTATTGATACTTCAACCTCAATTCAATTCAATTTTTGTTGGCTCGATCCCCATTTGATGCTTCTCCAAGTAAACCAAACTGGGGTATGAGTGTCACACTTTTCGTGGTTGAGCTCGCAAACTTTTCTTGGTTTTATCCACTTAAATCCGTCCCCAAAGAATTGGTGGCTCGGCGCTCTCAATTCTTGAAATCTCAAAATTGCTGGCTTAAACTCTGGTTGATACATGTTGATACATGTTGGTACATGTTGATACCCTTAAAACATCCCAGATATCCCAGAAAAATGTGAAAACATGACTCACCACGCCTGGGAGGTGCTTCTGAAAGCCCTGGTGAAGCTGCAGCGGCTGCAGGAAGCGCAAGAGACTCTGGAGGAGATGCAGCTGAAGCGCATGGCGTCGCTGGTTGCATCCGTTGGCCAAAATGATGGGAAAGCCCACGGAAAATGGGTAAAATGGGGGATGATCATGATGGAAAAATATGGAAAAATGGTCCAGAAATCCAGAATAAAGATTCTTGAAGATCGGAGAATATGTGGACATTGATGTTTTCTTGAAGCAGGGCAATGGACAACTCACTACTTTTTTTTTGCATCGACTTTGAATGGGATCTCTACACCGGTTTTCTTTTGCTATGTTGATTTACAAGAGGGTAATATCAGATGGCCAAAGTCTGTAGGTGGCTCGTATTATCCCAATGGTTGTTAGCTGTGAACCAACATGATGCAGGGGTGCCTTTGGTCGCTAACACATTCTTTGCATTTCTTGGCATTCTATTCATTGCCAGAGAGCCAAGGAATCTCATCAGCTACACCTCCCTCTTGAGTGCTTTTGCGAAGAAAGGCAGGATACGACCTGGGAATTTTGAGCACTTGACCGCACAGCTTTGCTGCCTTGAAAGTTGACCATGGTTGAGCTCGGCAGGACAGCACCCTATGACTTTCGTGACTTTCACTGCCGCCATCTTTGCTCAGCTCTGAGTCCACTGAACATCTCACAGCATCTCACAGCACTTGAGGTGTGATTCCCTCTGTTGGAACTTGGAGGTGTGCACTGAGTGCACTGGCATAGTTTGATCATGTTTGATCTCTAAACCGAAGGGCTGTAAGAGACTGCGCCTGTTTTCACTCATTGCAAAGGATACACCGGATACACCGAACAAGTGGGAATTCGCCTTCAGAATTTGGAGACTTCACCCAACCCCAGGGCTTCTGTCAACTCAGGGTTGACATTTCACGTATTGTGATCAAGTGGTGCAGCCACGTTTGATCGTGCAGCTTGGGGCGGCGAAGGCTCGTCTGAACTTGGAGGTGCCCCAAAGAAGCTGAAGGTTTGCCAGCCAACAAAGCTTGTTTGTGGATATTTGTGGCTGCCTGAGTGCCCATGGCTAGATACCCTCTTAATAATTTTGCACCAGCATCAGCCGTTCCTTCCATGCTTACAAGATCCCGCAAACTGGTTGGTGGTTTCAATCAACTCCCTTCAACATATACAGTATCAAAATATCATGTTGGGTCATATTGGGTCATCACCCCAAGTACTTGGGGAAAATCACAAAAGATGCGACACCATCTGTGATAACTCTATTTCAAAGTTATCCTAATCTCCCCAGTGTTGATGAAATCAATTGGTGTGTCATACCGCCTAGGTCATGAAGGCATGGAAGGTGCTGGTTCTCATAGCTGCGATCTTCTCTGGAGTACTTCATGGCTGTGACCAGGAAGAGGAGGATGCTCCTATGGCCAAGGACGACGGCGACGGCGACCATGACGACCATGGCCATTCCCATTCCGACAACGACACGGTGATGACAAGAACCACAACATTCACCGCCACACCGAGCACTACAGCTGTGCCGACCACTGACCATGGTGATGAGGAGGATCATGGCCACTCGCACCGGTGAAGTAAAGGCAACGCTGAAGGCAATGGTCATTTGGATGGACATTGAGTTTAATATGGTGAGAGCGTTTCACACTTCATCGCAAAGGCAGGGTCTGCAAACACTGCGGATATCATCCTGAAAATATGATACCTTTGCGATCCTTTGTAATTGGTGTTTAGTTTAGTTGCTGTTTAGTGCTCAAAAGTGCTTGGGAGACGTTGAAAGGTCTACAGTAGTGGCACTTGGTGAAGTTGCTGCATTCCCAAGAGATGAGTCAAAAAGAGGAAGCGGCTATTTGTTTCGTGAACGTCGGATTCCAAGACACGTGCAGCTCAGACATCTCTGCAGAGAAAAGTCAGGGATCTGTAGAGTCTGTGATGCCAAGCATTGTGTCGTGCAGATTACTCTCTCCTGAAACATGTGGATGGGCACATTTTCTAAAGATCACATTGGCTCCATATCCCAATGCAGCATTCATTGTCCTCAACTGAAGACCTCCCAATGGAATTCTATATTTTACCCTCTGGTAAACTAACATAGCTATGGAAAATCACCATTTTTAATGGGAAAACTCACTATAAATAGCCATTTTCAATAGCTATGTTAGTTTACCAGAGGGTAATGTGTTTGAATCAGTTTCAAGGTTCAGGAAATGACAAACAGCTTGTTTTGACCCTGTTTCCTGACAGAGAACTCACAGAAATGATGTTGGATCCCCCTGAATTCGTTGGAACTCTAGGCATCAGGGAAGAATATAAATATATAATAATATATATATATATATCATATAATATTATAATATCATATACATATATATATATCATATAAGATCATATTTACATATATATATATATATCATATATATATATATCATATATATATACATGTATCAATATATATATATATATTATAATATATATATTGATACATACTTCTTCCCTACCCAGAATCCCACAGGCCTGGCTCTCAACTTCTCCTAGTTCCTTCGGGTTCCCCCCGCTTCCCCCGGGCAGGTGAGGTGAGTCGGGCAGAAGGGCTCTTCGGAAGCTGGCCTTGGAGATGGTAAAATGGTAAGATCAACCATCCCCGAGGTCATTTAAAAGGTTGATCTGTTAATAGATGGTTAATAGATGGTGTAAGTTTGAATTCTTTTGGGTATTGATTCTGTTCATTTAAAAGCGGTGATATCCTCAGCGTTTTTTGGGGTATGAGAATCCTTGTGCCCGATGGAGCTGTGGTGGCGACATCTCCAGCCAATCATTTCCTTTTCCCATGGTGCTTTTTAAAATTTTTGGGGTTAGGTCCTGAGACTTGGAGAGTTTAGGTTTGATCTGACGCTCCAGCTTTTCGTACCGTTGTCGAGATGACAATCTTGGAACTGAAACATGGTCGAGAAATCTTCCCGACTGGAGCAGTGGCCCAGGAAGCATGCAGAAGGCTACCCTCCAGATGGACGTTGTGAGTTATGGCATCTCGGTCATCAGTCATGATAGGGTTTTCGCAACAGGCTCCTTTAGGAAATGGCCGCAGCCACTCCCCAGGCACCTTGATCTTGGCGTTTGCACGAGCTGGTGATGGCCAGGGCGCCGTGAGAACATTGCGGAGATGTGCCGAGGACTGTAGCGGCCGAAGATTTCGATTCGAATCGTTGCCTTCCATGGCGCCGGGAGGAGAGGATCGCTCCCAATGTGGTCTGTTATGGCACCGCCATACAAGCCTTGCGGAAGGAAGGCTGGGAAAACAGGAAGCGGGGAACCAAGGGGAATCATCCTGGTTTCAGAGTTGATATGGTTTCATCCTTGAATGAAGATGATTTTCTTTACGAATATGCCATATGTACAGGTGATGAGTGCCTGGTACTTGCGAATGGAGTGGTACATTTACTGATATATATATATATATACGTATATATATATATGTATATATACATACATGTATGTCATACACGTTTGTGATAGAACCCCAACAAGCTCCCAGGCAAAACTTCCCCGGTTGTGCATAGGCAATGCAATGGCAGCAGAAGCGCTTCTGCAAGAGATGAGTGATCGCAGGACCGGGTAGCTGAGAAGCTGACTCGGCTGGCTCTGATGGTGTGAATATGGAGCCAGCTTCTTAAACAAGCAAAGTGGATCTCTAATCACCTCTTGGATAAGAATATCTATACATATATTTATATGTATATACATTTATATTTATATTTATATATATATAGTTCTATTTATAGTTATATTTATATTATCATATTGTATCATATCATATTGTATTGTATGACATTCAATAGGAGTTCCAGCCAGTTTGCCCGCAGCACTCCAGCGTCAACTTGATCTGTCAGGCTGCAATTGAAGACATAGGGTGCATCTTCGTGGGACGCGGGCTGACCGGTGCGACCTAATCCGGCTGGTTCAACGAGAGCTTGGAGAGTATGATAACTTGGTGCACGATGGTCGACGTTGGTCAACTCAGTAATAAACCATAGAGCTCATACAGACGTTTACCATTTGGGTCTTGTTGTAGACCATACCCAGTTTGCACAACATGACAGTTCAACTCATTACATTTCCACCTTGAAGGCGCTGCAGCCTTTGCAACTGTGCTCCCCAAGTTGATCAGGCAGCCAAAGCTGCAGCCACTGCAAGGGAAAAAAGCTCGGTTGCAGCGGTGTTATGTGGTTAGGAATCGTTAGGAATCAGCGCAAGGAGAGCCCGCTAAAGCAAAGACTATTTGGCAAGGACTTACAATCATTCTTGCTCAACAGTGTTCAAGCATGTTCACGCTCCTTAGGTATGAATCAAACCAACTTTCAAAAACAAAAAAGTGCGGTTCGAGGTTGGAATGCAATGATGTTTGGTGCAAACAAGCCATTAGAATGTGCCCATTGTGCATGGATTCGGATTATTAGAGGGTACTTTGGCCACCTTCGACACTGAATGGTTCACTTTGTTTTGCAGAACTGTGATATCTGTGATCTTTGCATCAAGGTGGACTTGCGACTCAACTGAGTGCAATGGTATCTGGTAGACTGTACACAAGATGGTCCTGTGGGGTGACATTACAAGGCAAAGTCCTTTGTTTTCAGCGGAATTGTACCCCCAGTGCCCAAGTTCTCCACCAGAGTGGGACTGGAACCACATGCAAATTAAGCTTTTGGTGAGATGTTGGCATTCTGCTGATGGGGATTTTCACTGCATGGTGCTGCTGGATCACCATGGGAAAAGCTGCCAGACGACAGGGACTGGATTTCGGCTGAACAACCAGCTGTCTTATGATGTCTTAATAATGACAATAATGATTATTATGTGGATGAATGATGATGATGATGATGATGATGATGATGATGATGAATGATGATGATGATGATGATGATGATGACGATGACGATGACGATGACGACGATGACGATGATGATTCTTATTTTATTATTAGTAAGCTATTAATAATAATAACAACAATAATGTTTTTGTTTTTGTTTTTGTTGTCGTCGTCGTCGTCGTCGTCGTCGTCCTCCTCGTCCTCGTCGTCCTCGTGGTTGTGGTTGTGGTTGTTATTGTAGTTGTTGTTGTTGTTGTCGTTGTTGTTGTTGTTGCTGTTGCTGTTGCTGTTGCTGTTGCTGTTGCTGTCGTTGTCGTTGTCGTTGTCGTTGTTGTTGTTGTTGTTGTTGTTGTTGTTGTTGTTGTTGTTGTTGTTGTTGTTGTTGTTGTTGTTGTTGTTGTTGTTACATATTCAATATTAAATCATAGCTTTCCCAGCTATCTTCTCATTTTTCCCGAGAGCGCCTGCGAAGGGTTCTTCGTAAAAAAGCAGCCGTTATACTACATCTTCACACCTTCACATCTGCTGATCTACATCTTCACACCTTCACATCTGCTGATCTAGATCTTCACACCTTCACACCTGCAGATCTAGATCTTCACACCCTCACATCTGCAGATCTAGATCTTCACACCCTCACATCTGCAGATCTAGATCTTCACATCCTCACACCTGCAGATCTAGATCTTCACACCCTCACATCTGCAGATCTAGATCTTCACACCCTCACACCTGCAGATCTAGATCTTCACACCTTCACATCTGCAGATCTACATCTTCACACCTTCACATCTGCAGATCTACATCATATACACCCTCACACCTGCAGATCTAGATCTTCAAACCTTCACATCTGCTGATCTGGATCTTCACACCTTCACACCTGCTGATCTAGATCTTCACACCTTCACACCTGCAGATCTAGATCTTCACACCTTCACACCTGCAGATCTAGATCTTCACACCTTCACATCTGCAGATCTAGATCTTCACACCCTCACATCTGCCGATCTACATCTTCACACCTTCACACCTGCAGATCTAGATCTTCACACCTTCACATCTGCAGATCTAGATCTTCACACCCTCACATCTGCCGATCTACATCTTCACACCTTCACATCTGCAGATTTCTCTCGCTCTTCTTCTATTCTCTCTTAAGGCGGGGGCGGTGCCGCCGGAGCGCCACGAAACGCAACCCTTTCGCACGAAATGGACGTTGGACGCCAAAAACTGAGGAAAAATTGCGATTTTACTTTGTCCATCGCAACCCTTTCGCACGAAATGGACGTTGGACGTTAAAAACTGACGAAAAATTGCGACTTTACTTTGTCCATTGCGACCCTTTCGCACGAAATGGACGTTGGACGTCAAAAACTGAGGAAAAATTGTGACTTTGAAGCGTCCGGCGCAACCCTTTCGCACGAAATGGACGTTGGACGTCAAAAACTGAGGAAAAATTGCGACTTTGAGGTGTCCCGCGCAACCCTTACGCACGAAATGGACGTTGGACGTCAAAAACTGAGGAAAAATTGCGACTTTGAGGTGTCAATCGCAACCCTTACACACGAAATGGAGGTTGGACGTCAAAAACTGAGGAAAAATTGCGATTTTACTTGGTCAATCGTAACCCTTTCGCACGAAATGGACGTTGGACGTCAAAAACTGAGGAAAAATTGCAACTTTACTTTGTCAATCGCAACCCTTACGCACGAAATGGACGTTGGACGTCAAAAACTGAGGAAAAATTGCGACTTTGAGTTGTCAATCGCAACCTTTACGCACGAAATGGACGTTGGACGTCAAAAACTGAGGAAAAATTGCGATTTTACTTGGTCAATCGTAACGCTTTCGTCTGTGTAAAAGTGTCTGTGTGTAAAAGCCTCTGTGTGTAAAAGCATCTGTGTGTAAAAGTGTCTGTGTGTAAAAGTGTCTGTGTGTAAAAGCGTCTGTGTGTAAAAGTCTCTGTGTGTGAAAGCGAGTGTGAAAGTGTTTGTGTGTAAAAGCATCTGCCTGTAAAAGCGCCTGTGTATAAAAGCGTCTGCGTGTAAAAGTGTCTGTGTGTAAAAGCGTCTGTGTGTAAAAGCGTCTGTGTGTAAAATCGTCTGTGTGTAAAAGCGTCTGTGTGTAAAATCGTCTGTGTGTAAAAGCGTCTGTGTGTAAAAGCGTCTGTGTGTAAAAGCGCCTGTGTGTAAAAGCTTCTGTGTGTAAAAGCCTC